GATCCTCTGATGTAGGATAAGAGCTGAGCACTGACTGAAAGCCTTTCCACACTCAGGACATTTATATGGTTTTTCCCCAGTGTGGATTCTCTGGTGTTTGATAAGGTCTGAGTTCTGGCTGAAACTTTTGCTGCACTGTGTACATGGATATGGTTTTTCTCCAGTGTGAATTCTCTGATGAAGAATAAGGTCAGAACTCTGACTGAAAGCTTTCTCACAATGATCACAATGATAGGGTTTTTCCCCAGAGTGCACTCTCTGATGTTTAGTGAGGTCTGAGCTTTGACTGAAACTTTTATTGCATTGGTTACATGCATACGGCTTCTCTCCAGTGTGTATTCTTTGATGTTTAACGAGGTCTGAACGACGACTAAAACTTTTAGTACAATCACTACATGGATAGGGTTTCTCTCCAGTGTGGATTCTCTGATGGAGAATAAGATTTGAGCTCTGACTAAAGGTTTTCCCACACTCATCACATTCATAGGGCTTCTCACCTGTATGAATTCTATTATGTTTAACAAGGTCTGATCTTCGACTAAACATTTTACTGCACTGGCTACATGGGTAAGGTTTCTCTCCAGTGTGAATTCTTTGATGATTCATGAGATCTGAAAGTCTACTGAAGGTTTTGCTACACTGATTACATGGATAGGGTTTCTCTCCAGTGTGAATTCTCTGATGCAGAATAAGGACTGAGCTCTGATTAAAAGCTTTACCACATTCATTACATTTATAGGGTTTCTCTCCAGTGTGGATCCTTCGATGTTTAATAAGGTCTGAGTTCTGACTGAAACTTTTGCTACACTGATTACATGGATATGGTTTCTCCCCAGTGTGAATTCTCTGATGCAGAATGAGATCTGAGCTCTGACTGAAGGCTTTTCCACACACATCACATTTATATGGTTTCTCCCCAGTGTGGATTCTTTGATGTTTTATAACATCAGAACTCTGACTAAAATGCTTGTTACACTGGTTACATGTATAAGGCTTCTCTCCAGTATGGATTCTCTGATGCTTAACCAGGTCTGAGCGCTGGCTAAAGCTTTTACTACAATGACTGCATTGATAGGGTTTTTCTCCTGTATGGATTCTCTGATGGATAATGAGATCAGAACTCTGACTGAAGGCTTTCCCACATTCATCACATTTATAAGGTTTTTCACCAGTGTGGACTCTTTGATGTTTAATAAGGTCTGAGCTCCGACTGAAACTTTTAATGCACCAAGTACAAGGATAGGGTTTCTCCCCTGTATGAATTCTCTGATGCAGAACCAGAGCTGAGCTCACACTAAAGGCCTTTCCACACTTATCACATTCATAGGGTTTCTCCCAGTGGGTTCTTCGGTGCCTAATAAGGCCTGTACTCCAAGCAAAGCTTTGCCCACATTCATCACAGTTATTCTGTTTTCTTTTAAGGAGATTTTGATTCTTTTCATTTAATTTATCCCCCAATTCATAGAATCCTCTGCATTCAGAATCCTGGAGAACATCATCTCTGGGGTTGCCAGACTCTTCAGGCAATGGTTCAATTTTTGTTGTAATTTCCTCCTCTGAAGTCACCTCTCCAATCTTGGTCTTAGTCTCACCATCTAGAATAATAAAAAATCCAAATGGAATGTATTCTCCATACCATAAGAAAGCTGGAGGTGAAAGAGATCAGTATTTACTTATAAAATGCTGTCACAATATCAGAGTGCTCCAAAACACTGAAAATTATCCTCTGAAAGAGCAATTAGGAAGAATCAATAAGTAATGGATCATAATAATCATTTATTGAAGCAGTTTATCAGGTATGTTCTATATATGTTTGTCACAGGAGATCTGGGAATACTGAAACCTACTCATAGTAATTATGAAAGTGAGACTAAATTAAAGCCGATCCACAAGCAACTTATTAACGTAAGTAAGGTAAGCAATATGAAAGAGTACTTCAGGGACGGGGGAGAAGGAGGAAGCAGTGGGAGCCTGGCTGTCCCTGGGAGGACCACCAACCAGGCTGATCAGAGGCTACTTTAGGGGAAAGAAAGAAACAAGTATCAATGTCCAGGAATGGTAAGGACAGAAACCTGAATTTTCCAAAAATAGGTCTATATAATCCCCCAACTCTTTTGTCCTGATTATTACAAGGAAGTGGTTAAGAAAATATGATCCCATTTTAGGAAGAGCCATATTCAGTAACCAGACTTCCTTAGCAAAGTGTATGAACCAGGAAAAGGTTAGGGAGGTGGGATCAGAAATCTCTTCTGAGTTGAGTTTTGAGGAGGCCATTCCAATGCTTAATAATACCAGATGCCTGTGATGGTAGGGAATATGGGGGCTCCGCTGAAATTCTTGACTATCAGCTCACTGTTAAATGGTATTTACTATAAAAGGCATACTATGGTCAGACTGCAAATGGTCTAGAGAGCTGAAAACATGACACATTAATTTCAAAGGGAAAAGGAAAAAAAATATGGCTCCAGCTGGAGGCTTCTTCCCTTTGCCAGAGGCAAAGGCACTGGAAAAAGTAAAGTACATGGGTAAATCTACATGTGTACTGACTGACTTACACAGTATCAGTGTCTTATGGGGTTTACAATAGAGAGAGAATTAAAGTACATGGCAAAGATAGCACAAGAGGATGGAGGTAAACAGAACCAAAACATTGTAAGATCTTTGAATTGTCCTATAAATAACAAATTAAGATAAACTGTAATGAATCAAACATATATGCTGTAATTTCTTAGGCAGTCTTTTTCAACCAGGGTTCCACAAGGGAATAAAACAAAATGATCTGAATGACCATTTTCTTAATTCTCCCCAAAGATGGTACACAGCTAATGCTACAATAGATGTACAGGAGAAAAATTAATACATTAATTATAAGTAATACCTTAGAACATCGGGGCTTAATTTCTCACAGAATCACATCTGAAAAAGGCTACGAGGTAACGATTAAATAATAAAAGGGTGTATAAAAAATAAGCTAATAGAGAAAAAAATAGAAAAACAAAAGAAACTGATAATGTAAAATTAGGGATTAAAGGAGAAAGAAAAGAAACAAACGATGGGATTAATAAAAAGAAATACAAAGACAGTACATTTAAATCCAAATATCAACTATGTTATATGACATTTTTTTTTTTAAAGATTTTATTTATTTGTCAGAGAAAGAGAGAGAGCACACAAGCAAGGGGAACGGCAGGCAGAGGGAGAAGCAGACTCCTTGCTGAATAAGGAGCCCAATGCGGGACTTGAGATCATGACCTGAGCTGAAGGCAGACACTTAAACCTACTGAGCCACCCAGGCGTCCCTGTTATATGTAAATTAACTACTCCTATAAAAAGCAAAAGCTAACATCATACTTAATGGTTAAACATTGAATGCTTTTCTCCTAGGAACAAGGGAGCAAAACAAGGATGCTCTCTCTTACTACTTCTATTCAATACTATACAAACTCTATTTAGTTTACTAGCCAATGCAACAAGACATGAAAAATAAATGAGAGATACAAATAAGAAAAAAGTCAAACGGTCTTCACTTATAGACTACACAATCATGTATATAGAAAATTCTAAAGTATCTCAAAAAAGTTATTAGACCTTGTACATGAGTTTATTAGAATATACAAAATCCAACTGTATTTCAGTATACTAGCCATGAAAAATTAGAGCCTAATTTTCTTTTTTGTCAGAGAAAGACAGAGAAAGAGCACAAGCAGGGGGAGAAGCAGGCTCCCTGCTGAGCAAGGAGCCCAACACAGGACTCGATTCCAGGACCCTGGGATCATGACCTGAGCTGAAGGCAGCAGCTTAACCACTGAGCCACCGAGGCGTCCCTAGAGCCTAAAATTAAAAATATTTTTTAATTACACCAAAAATGAAATATTTAAAAACAAATTCAACAAAATATGTGTAATATGTTTATTAATGAAAACTGCAAAACACTGCTAAAAGAAGTTAAAGAAGAACTAATAAACAGAAATATATGCCATCACTTGTGGAGAAGAAGATTTAATATTGTTAAGATGATGGAATTCTTCCTAAACTTCTCTATAGGTTCAATGCAACCCCAATCAAAACCTCAGCAGGCCTTTTCATAGAAATTGACAAACTGATTCTAAACTTTATGTAGAAAGGCACAGAAGAGTCTAAACAATTTTGAAAAAGAAGAACAAAATTGAGAGAAGTTACACTACCAGATTTTAAGCTTTATTATAAGGCTACAGTAATCAAGGTAGTGTGGGATTGCATAAGGACAGGCTATATATTAATGAAATATGACTGAGTACATAAATAGATCAAACATATACATAAAACTGACCATCAGCAAAGTTGCCAAGACAATCAATGGTGAAAGGACAGTCTTTTTTCAACAAAGTGTTAGAACTGGATATAACAATAACACAAATTAAGCCTCTTTCCTCATGCTATGCACAAAAATTAACTAGAAATGTAATATAAATCTAACCATAAAAACTAAAACTATAAAATTTCTAGAAGAAAGCAAAGCACAGATGACAAAAGTCAATACACAGAACTGTGAGAATATAAATTTGTGTTGTTTAAGCCACCCAATCTGTGATACTTTGTTATGGTAGCCCTAGCAGGCAAACAGAGCATGTTTTTGAACTATATACATTTATGGAATTATATCACATATATTCTATGATCTGCTTTTTTTTTGCTCAACATTGTGTTTGGAAGATTCATCTATATTCATGTGTGTAACTGCAGTCTATTCATGTTCACCACTATAGTGTGACATATAACACAATTTATTTACCCATTCTCTTTCAATGGACAATAACATTTTATTTCAAATAATGCTGATATCAATCTGCTAGTACATTTATCTTTATGCACATATGCAAGTGTTTCTCCAGGTTACATAAACTTAGGACCAGAACTGTTGGGTCTTACTGTTAAGTGTATGAGTTCACATTGCCCTATAGGCTAACCAATATTAAGTCTATTCTCTTTTTAACCCACTGCAACCAGGCTTTTATTTCCTTAACTCCATCAAAACTGCACTTATCAGAATCCCTAATAAGCTCTACCTTGACAAATCCAGTAGTCAATTCTCAATCTTATTCTGTATTTATCTGACATAGTTGATTACTCTCTTCTTAAAACATTTGTTTTCTTCTTGCTAACTTACCTTTCTCCTATTCTCCATAAAACAGAGTGATCTTTTTTTAAAAAATATTTTATTTACTCATTTGTCAGAGACAGAGAGAGAAAGGGAGAGAGCATGAGCACGCACAAGCAGGGGAGTGGCAGGCAGAGGGAGAAGCAGGCTCCCTGCTGAACAAGGAGCCCAATGCAGGACTCAATCCCAGGACCCTGGAATCATGACCTGAGCCAAAGGCAGACGCTTAACCCGACTGAGCCACCCAGGCATCCCTCGAGCGATCTTTATATGTTATTATCATGCATAAAATGCTCCAGTGGTTTCCTATTACACTGGGAATAAATTCCGTGTCCTAACTATGGCTTAGAAGGTTCCATCTGGTCCCTTCTCTCTCTGCTCTCATTTCATTCCACCACCAGCCCTATTTCCTGTCTACCCCTGACTGACTCTGCTCCTGCTACATTAAAGGGCCTCTGGCATTTGCTATTCCCTCTGCCTGAAACACTCTTCTCTCAGATAGTCATATGGTTTGTTGTCTCACTTCCCTTATATCTCTAACCAACTGTTACTACCTCAGAAAGGCACAATACTTGGTGAGCCCTGAATTTTTGAGACAACAGATACCATAGTCGAATGCGCTGAAATGACCAATATTAATAACTTGTAAGACTGTTATCTTTGAGTGAGACTCAAAATTTAAAAAAGGCTTTGCAGAGGTCCAGGTTGCAATGCAAGCTGTCCTGTCACATGACTTTATTAACCAGGATAACCAATGGTTAGAAGTGTCTGCAGGAGTCAGGGATGCTGTATTAAGCCTCTGGCAAGCCTCCAGAAGAGAACGTCAGTGAAGTAAGGCCATACTCTCTTCTGCCAACAATTTTCTAAGTGAAAAACAGACATTGGCTTGCTCTTGGGCACTAACAGAGACTTAATGCTTGACCACAGAGCACCAAATGACTATTATAAGCTAACCATTGTGAACTAGCTATTTGATTCATCAAATCATAAAACTGGACATACAAACCAGCATTCCATTATAAAAGCAAGTGTGGAAGACAAATAAATTCCATGTGCTCGTGATGTGGGTTGCCATAATACCTTTTCCTATTGCTCCACTAATCCCTTCCCCATAAGCTGATATTCATGGCCTAATGGGAATGCCCTTTTACCAGTTAACAGAGGAGGAAAAAGTACAGAACTGATTTATAGATGGGTCTGCTCAGTGTGTGGACACTAGCAGAAAATGAATCTTTTACTTAAACCCTGACTCTGAGGTGACCTGAAACATACTGGTAAAGGCAAATCTTTCCAGTAGGCAGAATTTCAGATATACACCTGGCTGTCCACTTTCATGGAAGGCAACAGAGCCTAAGATACACATCTATATTGATTCATGGATAATGACTAATGGGTTATCTGATTAGTTAGGTACCTCAAAGAACAAACTTGGAAGACTAGAAATAAGGATTCTAGAAGAAAATTATGATAGACCTCCTAGGATGGGCAAAGAATGAATATATTTGTGTCCTATGTGAATACTAACCAAACGGAATCCACTGTAAAGAAGCCTCTCAATCAGATGGACATGGTGATCCATGTTATGAATGTCAATCAGCCTTTTTACTAATGCTTGCCCAATGGACTCATGTATAAAGTGGTCATGGCAACAGGAATGGAGGCTATATGCGGGGTCAACAATATAGGTATCTGCTTATCAAGGCTGATATGCCTATCATCGCAGCTATGTACGCATGCAGCCAATTGCTGGGACCAACACTGAGCCCCTCATTTGGTACTGTTTTCTGGAGAGGAACTAGCCCACAACTAGGGGGCAGATTCATTATACTGGCTCCTTCTATCATGAAGAGGGCAACAATCTGTTTTCAAAGGACTAAATATATAGTCCACATACAAATGTGCATTAACCTAAGAGAATGCTGTATTTATTACAATGGTAATTCTATACAATAATGCCTCCAAAGGAGTAGTTTTACAGGGAAGGAAGTACAGCAATAAGCTCACACACATGTAATTCACAGGTCTTATCACATGTCCTATCATCCAGAAGTAAGTGGATTTCATTTTTTTTTTAAAGATTTTATTTATTTATTTGAGAGAGAGAATGAGAGATAGAAAGCATGAGAGGGAAGAGGGTCAGAGGGAGAAGCAGACTCCCCGCCGAGCAGGAAGCCCGATGCGGGACTCAATCCTGGGACTCCAGGATCATGACCAGAGCCGAAGGCAGTCGCTTAACCAACTGAGCCACCCAGGCGCCCTAAGTGGATTTCAATAATAGTGGAATGATTTACTGAAGGCCCAGTTACAGTACCAGCCAGGCAACAACACCCTAAGTTTGGGGTGCTGTCCTACAGGATGCAATATATGCCTTAAACCAGAGGACAATAAACAGTGTTGTCTTCTCTATGGCCAGAATACATGGGTATATGAGTCAAGGGGAGAGGAGTAGTAATAATGTCTCTTTTTACTATATAACTAATAGTCCATTTATATTATGGATTATATTATATTATATTCTTAAAGATTTATTTATTTGAGAGAGAGTGAGAGCACATGAGCGTGTGTGCACATGTGGGTGGAGGCAGGGGAGAGGGAAAGAATCTCAAGCAGACTCCCCACTGAGCAGGGAGTCTGACCCGGGGCTCGACCCCCTGACACTGAGATCATAACCTGAGCTGAAATCAAGAGTTGGATGCTTAGGGTGCCTGGGTGGCTCAGTTGGTTGAGTGACTGCCTTCAGCTCAGGTCATGATCCTGGAGTCCCAGGATCGAGTCCCGCATCAGGCTCCCTGCTCAGCAGGGAGTCTGCTTCTCCCTCTGACCCTCCCTCCTCTTATGTGCTCTCTCTCTCTCAAATAAATAAATAAAAATCTTTAAAAAAAAGAAAAGAGTTGGATGCTTAACCAACTGAGCCACCCAGGTGCCCCTATATTATTTTTAATTCCTATCCCCATAATCTTGGGCTTAGTGGGTTTGGGGTTCTGGTTCTCAAAGAAGAAATACTTCTACCATGGAACAAAGTCATGATTTTGTTAAATCTGAAGCTGAGACTGTCTCCTGGCCATTTTGGGTTCCTCAAGCTGCTGCACCAACAGGCAGAGAAAGGGTTGCTCTACTGGCTAGGATGACTGATACCAACTGCTACTGGGGAATTGGCCGCTGCTACATAATAAAGGCAAAGAACAGTAGGTGTAGAACTCAGACGATTCAATGCGGGTGCTTCCTAGTTCTCTCATGTCTAACGGCCCAGTCAATGGTATGCTGAAATAACATGGAAGAGACAAGATCATCAAGGACTCAGATCATCCAGGAAAAAAGGTTTACATTACTAAACTAAGTAAAGAACTCTGCCACTGAGATTCTGGGAGAGGGTAGAGGCAATATGGAATGGGTGATGGAAGTAGATAGTTTGTGAATAGCAAAAACTGTAGCAGTGATTTTAAGTTAATTATGCCTTTCCCCCCTTTACTTCACTACGTTATATGAAGAGCACCAGTGGCAGTGAAGTTTCATGTTTCAGGTGAAATAGAATTTAATTACAAGTCAACCTGCAAGGATATGGTAGCTTAAGAGCTTAAGAAAAAGATATGTGTTGGGAACATGATAAACCAAACAAAGGACAAAAGTAAATATTATAGGTTAAAAGGGGTGGACTGTAATGGGATATTCTCCTTTTGCCCTTCTAGATCTACTGTTCATGTTGCTCTGTGCTCCAAGAGGTTGATACTAGTTTTTGGACTGCAGCACTTGGGACTCTGTGTCCTCTGGCTTGCAATTAGATTTGGCCCAAAGAAGGAGGAGAACTGTAGAGTGACCAACTATCCTGGTTTGTCCAAAACAGACGGGGTTCTTGGGATATGGGACTTTCAGTGCTAAATCCCAGGGAAACCGGGATGAGTCTTCACTCTACATCCCGACTCCTTTCTTGCTGGGCCAGGAGTTAGAAGTAATTGTGTTTCTTTTAGCAAAGGCCATGGCTCCAACTGGGCAGCTCTACCCTACAGCTATACTCTCCAGGATCTAGTAATCAGTCTCTCCCTTTGTAACATTAGGCCTAAAGGTAATAACTGCTTATCATTTTTTTGTCCCAAAGCTGTACTCTATCCCTTATTAATTTCTGTAATCCTGCCCATCTTCTTCATGAAACCTTGAATTATCCAATTTGAATGAACCATCTGTTTCCTGCTAGAATCCTGACTGATACATCCTGGTTTATTTCCTTCGTAATGATTATCGCTCTCTGATACTCTACCATATATTCACTTATTTCCTGTTTCCCCCACCAGAATGTAAGCTCCTTAAGGGCAAAGGCTTATCTGTTCAGTTCACTGCTATATGCCCAGCACTTAGAACAGTGCCCAGCACAGAGCAACCCCTCAATAACTAACCATCCTATATGGTCAGCAATAATTAATAAGCTATAATCTGATTAACTAATAAACATGTATCAACAAGTGTTGAACAGTTGATTAAATTATTTGAAGGATACATTAATGTTAGTGACTATCTCTAGATGGTGGAGTTGTAGGTTATTTAAATTCCCATTTTGTGTCTTTCTATATTTTATAAATGTACTTTAGTATAATTAGATTACTCTATAGTAACAAAATGTTCTTTTACACACACTCTAAAAGACACAAACACATGCAATATGTATATTAATTTATATAAAACTGCAAAAAGGAGACCCAATTCTACGTAATTCTCAGGAAAAATGAGAGCTAGATGTCTTAGAATAGATTCTTAAGCAAAGACAAGTTCTAAATACAGAAGAGAGAAACAAAATAAAATAAAGACACTTCAAAGCTATAAAGAGGCAGAAGATCTAGAGTAAAAGAAAATGACAATAGAAGGTGAATTTCACAGGCAAAATAGCAGCAAATGGGAGGACCAAAATCAGAAAACAGCAAAATATGATGTGGAAATGAGACCCTGTGGAACACCTGAACAAGGGTGGGATTAAAATTATCTTACTAGGGGCACCTGGGTGGCTCAGTTGTTAAGCGTCTGCCTTCAGCTAAGGTCATGATCCCAGGGTCCTGGGATCCAGCCCCGCATCGGGCTCCCTGTTCAGCAGGAAGCCTGCTTCTCTCTCTCCCACTCCCCCTGCTTGTGTTCCCTCTCTCGCTGTCTCTCTCTGTCAAATAAATAAATAAAATCTTAAAAAAATAAAAAAAAATAAAATTATCTTACTAAAAATAACAGTGGCTACCATTTATAAAGAACTTACTAACAGCCTAGTCTGTGTGTAGAGCTTTATAATACTGAAATATCATTAGTGCTCGTAGTGTTTGTTATAGTAGTAATGGACCCCAATGAATCGTATCTCCAAATACCTATATCCTTGTGTAGTTCTCTTCCACAATGACTCTGGAACTGGTCATGTTGATTTGTTTTGGTCAATATAACACAAACATAGGTTAGAAAAGTGCTTATGCTTCCCAAGGCTTGCCCTCTCTCTGTATGGGAAACTGGCTGTCCTGTGAAAAAGTCTGGGCTGGACTGCTGCAGATGGATGACCCAAGCCATAACCAGCACCAACAGCCAGACATATATGACTGATACTCACACCCTGGCCCTAGTTGAGCCACTAGATGACTGCATGAGTGATCCCAGACAAAACCAAGAGAAAAACTGCCAGCAGAACCCAGTCCAAGCTGAGGACCTACAGAACCATAAGAAAATAACGTGGTTTAAAAATGTCTGATGTTGGGCTCCTGGGTGGCTCAGTCGTTAAGTGCCTGCCTTCGGCTCAGGTCATGATCCCAGGGTCCTGGGATCGAGCCCCGCATCGGGCTCCCTGCTCCGCGGGAAGCCTTCTCCTCCCTCTCCCGCTCCCCCTGCTTGTGTTCCGGCTCCTGCTATCTCTCTCTCTGTCGAATAAATAAATAAAATCTTTAAAAAAAACAAAACAAAACAAAACGCAAGTAATTTACTGAAGCTAGTACATGACAAAACTAGTATTTGAATCCAGTGTCAGACTCCAAAACTTTTAACTATGCCCCTACAGTACCTGAAAAAAGACGACCTGAAAAGATTTTAAAGGGAAAATATCAAATACTGACAGACTGGTGATAAGGTGATTATAATGAGAAAAAATGGGTAACTGGGTCCTTAAGGAGAGGAGGGAACTCCATGAGAATTTGATTGCCAGAATTCACAATAAAGCTATGTGACTCTGCTTGCAGCAGAGATGGTACTGCCTAACACAGTGAGGGGTTGGCAACGAAGAATACCAATAGCACTGGAAGACAGTAACATAGCACCAGTAACAAACCTCCCACCACCTGTACCCCCTAAGAAAGATATAATACACTGCTTCTCACCTGACAGAAGGTGGTGTTCTTGAGATTCATAATTGAAGTGGATCTCCATGGGCTGTAACTGGACACTTGGCACCTCGGGGAGCAACTGCAGAATTACCATTTCCTTAGTAAGCTTTTCTTGTCCACATAGGAGTCTGAAACCTGGAGGCAACGGGGCACCACTGGGCTTGGAAGGGAATCATTGTGGAGACTGGAGATATAATTTCTGAGACTAGACCACCAGAAACAACCTCTAGATAATAAAAGAAGTGGAGGAGAAAACAAAATCTCATTTAATTTCCAAGTGGTTTTCTCACAGAATTTATTAAGCTTCCTCCCTCGTGATGAGGATCAGACATTAACCCTTTTGGGCATGTATTCTCCATTCCAAGGCTAGAGACCTTCAAACATAATTGGGGGTAAATGCTACCGAAATAAGGACGTAACTGGGATGATAAGGCTGGGAAGGGCATAAGATTTTGTTTCAGCGGTTAACGCCGTATTCGCTGCTTTTCCTACACCAAACCGACACGACTGGTCACCATCATTATCTTTCTTTCCCTCCTTCCCTTCTTCCAGCACTCGCACATTCAGGTTGCTCTTTGCCGGCACGCTCTGCTGATCTGCGTGGATGCATCCCCCTTCCTGATTCCACATGCCCACAAAGTTTTTGGTGTTCATTCGCTGAAACTAAGGCCGCGCAGGCGCTGACCGGTACCCAAAGCGCGCTAGGCCAAGGACCCACCTTCCCCAGGAGCAGCGCCTGGGAGCGACCCCGGTGGCCGGGACTCTCCATGGACTCAAGAAAACCCACAGGGTTTCCTGGCGGCGCCGCAAGGCAGCTCAGGAAGCGAGATCATCCTAGTTCCCCGGGCTCCCGTGACCCGATAGCACCCATACCTCGACGTGTCCTCCAGGTCGCTGTCGAGCCTCACAAGCTGCGGAACTGCCATCGCTGCGTCCGCTCTAGGAAGCTGGGAGGATTGCTCAGCTCTATGGCGCCGGGGGAGGGGGGGCGGGGGCGGGGCGCCCGGGCGCAGGCGCGAGGGGGCGGTGGCGGCGGCGGGTTAGGGGGAGGGTTGCGGCGATTTAACCCCTGAACCTTCGCGTAGCTGACCCATCCCAGCTGTAGCGAGCGACCTGGTCAGCCAGCGACAGGTCCCTTGCTGCCCTATCTGCCGGTTCTTGACGTGAATGTCGAAACATCTTTCGGGAAAGCTCTTTGGGGCAGGGTAGGTTTTCTGACTACGTAATGAGTTCTTTATTGTCTCTCTTTAAATCCCCACTCCTCCTCCTCTTCATGTTCGCTGGTGTGCTTCCATTCTAACTTTCTTCCTGTCCTTTCTGTTTTTTTCCCCCAGAACAGTGGTGTGCCTCCAAATCACCTGGGCTCCTTGTTAAAATACTTTTTACTGGGCCCCACGCCTAGAGTTTACCACTCAGTAGGTCTGGGGTGGGAGCTCAGGTTCACAGGTACTGCTGCTGTTGGTTCTGGGACCACACTTCGAGAACCATTGCCCTACAAATAAGTAATCCTCAGCAGTTAATTCCTGAGTTGCTGGGAAGCTGGATTTTGATGTACTTTGCCATCAAGGAAGGCCGCAGGGGGTCTTTCTAAACAGCTTGCTTAAGAGGAAATTAAAAAAAAAAAAAAACCAACAGGGAGACAAATGAAAATGAAAACACAACAGCCCCCAAATCTTTGGGATGCAGCAAAAGCTGTTCTAAGAGGGAGGTTTATAGCAATACAGGCCCACTTCAAGAAGCAAGAAGAATTTCAAATAAACCAACTTACACCTAAAGGAGCTAGAAAAAGAACGAACGAAACTCAAAACCAGTAGAAGTAATGAGATTAATAAAGACAAGATCAGAAATAAACAAAATAGAAACTAAACAGTTTGCTTGCCAGTACATTCCTCATGTGGCTAAAAGATCAGGATGAGAAGAAGGACCTGAAATTTGGGGGAGCAGGGCGCACATTGGAATAGGAAAGGTTATTGTTGTGTCCTTGGAAATTTCTTAGGAAGTACAGGGGGAGTTAGGAGAATGATTGAGACATATGAGATGTTGGGAAGAGGTACAGGTTTAAAAAAGTGGTGATTGGCTGAAATGATGGTTGAGGTAGAAGTAGAGGGCTTTCTGTCCCAGCCCAAGACCCTCTTCTGATGTATGAAATCTTAGGGACGTATGAGTGAGACTCTGATGTTCCTGTAAAGAACTTGTTTGGGTCCAGCCTCCCAAGAATGGAGTGCAGATACTTTACAAAAACAAAACAGCTTCCGGCGCCTGGGTGGTTCAGATGGTTAAGCGTCTGCCTTCGGCTCAGGTCATGATCCCAGGGTCCTGGGATCGGGTCCCACATCGGGCTCCCTGCTCCTTGGGAGCCTGCTTCTCCCTCTGCCTCTCTCTCTCTCTCTTTCTGTCTCTCATGAATAAATAAAAATAAAATCTTTAAAACAAAACGAAACAAAAAAACCCAGCTTCACTGTGATTTAAGAGACATACAATAATTTAGAGTATATAATTTGATAAGTTTTGTCATATGTATATGGTTGTGAAACCATCACCACAATCAAAATAATGAACGTATCCGCAAACTCAGAAATTTTCTTCTACCCTTTGAATCTCCTCCCTCTCTTCCCACAGCTCCCAACCACTGTTCTGCTTTGTGTAACTATAGATTAGTTTGCATGTTTTAGAGATATTTAAATAGAATCATACAGAATGTACTCTTTTTTTGGTCAGACTTCTTTCACTGAGCATTATTATTTTGAGATTTATCTGTATCACTGTTGTATATCAGTAGTCTATTGCTTTTTTTGCTGAATAATATTCCATTAGCTATATATGTATCACAATTTGTTTATCCACTCACGAGTTGATGGGAATTTGGGTTATTTCCAGTTTTTTATTATTATAAAGCTGCTATGAACATTGTTGTCCAAGACTTTATACGGACATGTACTTTTTTCTCTTTCATGGTAGTTGTATGTTTAACATTTTGAGAAACTGCTACACTGTCAGAGTGGCTGAACCATTTCGCATTCCCACCAGCAGTGTATGAGAATGCCATAGTTCATATACTACTCTATTTTTTTTAAGATTTTATTTATTTATTTGACACAGAGAGAGATAGTGAGAGACAGAGAGAGCACAACAAGCAGGCAGAGGGAGAGGGAGAAGCAGGCTCCCCGCTGAAGGAGCCCGATGCGGGGCTGGATCCCAGGACCCTGGGATCATGACCTGAGCCGAAGGCAGATGCTTAACCGACTGAGCCACCCAGGTGCCCCGATATACTACTTTAAACAGGTGTTCAGTAAAAAAGAATGAGAAATTTATTCAAAGGTTAATACTTAAGTACAAAGGTGAGGGTTTTGTTAACTTTTTACCTGGAAGTGATGATGTGAATATAGATTTTCTGAGTATTTAACCAAGGAAATCAAACTTTTTTTCAGATTGTGCTAGATTTGTTGCTTTGTGGAGTCTTATCAAAGATACTACATTCTGAGGCTGAGAAGCCAGCTTGGAATCTAACAGTTTGATCAATCGACCAAAACAACCCTAGACCCAACTGTGGTCCACACCAGCTGACACTGGAGAAGTTCTTCTCAGTAAGGTAAAAGGAATTCAAAGGTTTCCAGAGAGATCAGGAGTGATAATACAGGCATGGGAAATGATATGAGAGTCTCAAGAATGAAACTGATAGGTCACCCACCAATAGTCTACCTGATTTCCATTTCCTATTCCATTTCCTCTTGGGGGAAACTAGGCCAAACTAACATATGTCTGATTTAGGCATAGATTCTACAGCAGTGGTTCTTAATCTTTTTTGGGTAATACAACTACTTTGAGAATATGATAAAAACTACAGACCTCTTCCTTAGAAAGTTGGACATAAAGACCGACTGCTTATCCTGTATTGCTTCTTATGTATTATATTGTATTAGAAATTAATTTCCCTTGATAGTTAGACTATATAATCAGTCTTCACAAAGAATGAATTTCAATCTAAAAATCAATCGCCAGGTCCAGGTAAAAAAGGGAAATAAATCCAAATTGTGAAGCCAAATGAAAAATTTAACATTCCTTTTTGATCAAAGAAATATTAACACATAGGCCGCTGCTGTTTGATTTTGAATGGTACATCTAAATTATGGACAATTCAACATCTTTGAAATATTAATATGCATGTCCAATTGACTGTGACTTTTTAAAAACAGAACAAGTGCTGGGGCACCTGGGTGGCTCAGTCCATTAAGCTGCTGCCTTCAGCTCAGGTCATGATCCTGGAGTCCTGGGATCTGCTCAGCAGGGAGTCTGCCTCTCCCTCTGCCCCTCCTCCCCGCTTGTGTTCTCTCTCTCTCTCTAGCTCATGCTCATTCTTTCTCTCTCTCAAATAAATAAATAAATAAAATCTTAAAAAAAACCCAAAAAACCCAAAACAGAACAAGTGCTGAAAACTGAGACTCAGAAGGTGAAATAATGGCCAATACTATCAGTTCCTAAGGTTCACTTTGACAGAGATGAGTAGGCTTGTATCCCAAACACCAGAATTCTCCAAGACCTCTAGAGTTGAATTCAAATCAGATCATTTCTTTTATTTTCAGTCAGTGAGGTCATTGGCATCATTTTGAAAAGTCTTCAACTTCAAAACCAAGTCATAGCAGTTTAAACAACTCTTGGTCTGTACTTAACACATTGTTGTGGGTTGAATTGTGTTCCTCCTAAAAGATATGTTCAAGTTCTAACCTGTGGTACCTGTGAATGTGACTTTATTTGGAAATAGGATCTTTGCAGATGTAATCAAGTTAAAATGAGACCATGCTGGATTAAGGTGGGTCCTAACCCAGCAACTGGTGTCTTTATAAGAAGAGGTCAATTCACACACAAAGGAGACTCACAGAGAGGAGAGGACACCATATGAATGTGGAGGCAGTCATTAAAGTGATGCATCTCCAAGGCAAAGAACACCAAAGATTGCCAGCAGTTACCAGAAGTTAGGAGACAGGCATGAACCTCAGAGCCTTCAGAAAGAGCACAGTTCTGCCAGCACCTTGATTTTGGATTTGTAACCTCCAAACTGTGAGAGAATACATTTCTGTTGTATTAAGCCACTCTGTGGTACCAGAAGTGAGGTGCTGCTTTAACAAATACCTAAAAATGCTGATGTGGCTTTGGAGTTGAGTAATGACTAGAATTTGGAAGGGTTTTGAGGCTCATGATAGAAAATACCTAGGTTGCCTTGAAGAGATTGTTGGTAGAAATATGGATGTTAAAGGTGACTCTGGCAAAGGCTTGGAAGGAAGTGAAAAGGACAGTAGAAACCTTTTCTGTCATCTTAAAGATACATATATTGTCATGAACAGAATTTTGCTAAGAATAATGAGCATTAAATATACTGGTGAGGTATCAGACAGAAATGAGGAAAACATTGGAAGCTGGAGAAAAGGCGATACTTGTAAAGTAGCAGAAAATGGGCTGAATTGAATCATGTTCTGCTATTGGGTGGAAAAATAATTTGTAAGTGATGAAGTTGGACATTTAGCTGAGGATCTTTCCAAGCAAAGTTTGAAAAAGTGGCCTGGTTTTTCCTTGCAGACTATAGTAAAATATGGGAGGAAAGAGATAAATTGAGGAAGGCACTATTAAGCGAAAAGGAATCAGTACTTGATAATTTGGAAAAATTTTCAGCCTATCCTTGCTCTGGAGACAAGGCCACGAATGTAGCTGGACAACCTTTTGGTGAAGAGATTGGGTGTATGATTCATGCATCCAACCAACTATCTCAACAGAAACCAGAAGTAGAAATGGGTGATCCAGGAAGGATCTGAGAAGAACCCCTGCATATAATTGTGTGGATCCCCTTGATATCCACAGACAACCAACATGGTTGTTATATCACCAGAAACACTACCAGCTTGGACTGAATTGGACAGAGACAGGACAAAATGAAGGAAGCTTGCCAGATTTCTAGGGTTCTGCATGCAGGAAATGGGGCACCCAGTAGGCGGGTCCACTTAAGGGCTGGGAGACCAGGGCCACCTTAGCTGAGAGGGGCTGATGGACCTTCCATTGGCCCAAGGGACGTATTGAGCCACAGAGTAATAATTTGGGAACTCTACAAATATTTGGAAGTTAAACAGCCCATATCTAAATAACCTATGGTTCAAAGAAGAAATCACAAAGGAAATTAGAAAATATTTTAAACTGAATGAAAATGAAATGCAACAAACACAATTTTATGAGATGCAACCAAAGCAGTGCTTAGAGGAAATTTTATAGCTTCAAAATGCCTATCTAAGAAGAAAATCTCTTATCAATAACCTAAGTTTCCACCTTAAGAAGCCTGAAAATGGGCAGCAAACTTAACAACAAAAAAGCAGAAGGAAAGGAGTAATAATGATTAGAGTAGTAATGAATGAAATAGAAAAGAGGTAAACAATAAAGAAATAGCAATGAAACCAAAATTTTGTTCTTTGAAAATATGAACAAAAATCGACAAACCTTTAATAGGCTGACCAAGAAAAAAAGAGAGTGATTAACAAAAGCGGAGAAGAGGGGACATCACTACCAACGCTATAATAATTTAAAAGAATATAAGGGAACACTATGAATAACTTCATGCCAACGTATTATACAACATAAGTGTCATAGACAAATTACTTGAAACATACAAATTACTAAAAGTGACTGAGGGACGCCTGGGTGGCTCAGTTGGTTAACTGTCTGCCTCTGGCTCAGGTCATGATCCCAGGGTCTTGGGATCGAGTCCCGCCTTGGGCTCCTTGCTCAGTGGGGAGCCTGCTTCTTCCTCTGCCTGCTGCTCCCCCTGTTTGTGCTCTCTCTCTATCCCTGACAAATAAATAAATAAATACATATATACATACATTCAATCTTTAAAAAAAAAGGGACTGAAAAAAATAGAAAATGTGAATAAAGGTATGAAAAGTAAAGAAGTTGAATTAGTAATGAAAAATTTTCTAACAAAAGCACAGGCCCAGATGGCTTCACTACTAAATTCTTTTGAACAGTTAAAGAATAGCAGCCTTTCACAATCTCTCCCAGAAAATAGAAGGGCCAGTAATTACTTTGATACCGAAGCAGACAAGGACACCTGGGTGGCTCATTGGTTGAGCGTCTGCCTTCAACTCAGGTCATGATCCCAGAGTCCTGAGATAGAGCCCCACGTCTGGCTCCTGGCTCAGCTGGGAGCCTGCTTCTCCTTCTCCCTCTGCCTCTCCCCTTCTCATGCTCTCTCTCTCTCTCTCTCTCTGTATTTCTCTGTCTCAAATGAATAAAGAAAATCTTTTTTAAAAAAAAAAAAAGCAGACAAAGACAGCACAGGAAAAGAAAGCTACAGACCAGTATCTCTTAACAATATAGACACAAAAGTCCTCAATAATATATTAGCAAAATAACTTCATTAATATAGGGGCTCCTGGGTAGCTCAGTCAGTTAAGCGTCTGCTTTTGGCTCAGGTCAGGATCTCAGGGTCCTGGGAGCAAGCCGGCTTCTCCTTCTCCCTTTGCCCCTCCCCCCTGCTTGTGCACAGGGTCTATCTCCAATAAATAAAAAAATTTTTAAAAATTAACTTGATATATAAAAAAGGATTACATACCACGACTCAATAGGATTTATCCTAGTAAGTTGGTTTAATATCCAAAAATAAATCAATGTGGTTAGAGATTCAAATATCTTTCAATAATGTTTATCAATAATAGAATGAATGAATATTGGTATAATCATACAATGTAACATTATTAGAAATGAAAATGTAGAGGCGCCTGGGTGGCTCAGTCGTTAAAGCATCTGCCTTCAACTCAGGTCATGATCGCAGGGTCCTGGGATCGAGCCCCACCTCAGGCTCCCTGCTCCGCGGGAAGCCTGCTTCTCCCTCTCCCACTCCCCCTGCTTGTGTTCCTGCTCTCACTATCTCTCTCTGTCGAATAAATAAAATCTTTAAAAAAAAGAAATGAAAATGTACAGTGTATGAACAGATTTCACAATGTTGAATTCAGCCTGACTTAAAGGAATACATATTGAATTCCATTTATATACAGTACAAAAAGAGGCAAGACCAACCTATCATGTTCAAAGTTCAGTGTAGTGGCTATCTTTCAGGGCTAGAGGAGGGTGGTGACTTGAAGAGAGCACAAGGGGGACTTCTGAAGAGGCATAATGTTCTCTTTCTTCATCTGAGTGCTAGTAACATGAGTATGTTCAGTTTGTGAAAATTCAAAAAATAGTATGTGCATTTATTTACTTGTAAAATCAGCATTGCTAACCAATACTATTTGGCTGTTCTGCATTCACAGCATCAAAACACAGACCAAAATGCACCATTTTTTATTATAATGCTTCATTTTATTTTCTGAGACAACTCCACCTACCTATCTGGTCTCATTCTCTCCCCATCAGCTATGTATTCTTCTTTCCTTCTATCTTCAGTTTTTCTTCCTACTCACATTTTACCTTTTTTTCCTACAAATATAATTAGGTGTCTAGTATCTTTAAAAAAACAAAAACCTTTCAATCCTGTTGCCTAGTCCAGCCAAGTGTTCTTTCTTTTTCCTTCTTGCAGGATCGCATTTCTCAGAAGGAATTATCACCTGTTTTAAGTGTCTTATCTTATACTTCTTAACCCGTGGCAAGTACATTCCACAGGTAACATCTCTCAAGCTCTTCGTCTACCCCTCCCCTTAATTCCAGCATCACCTTAGCTCTTGCCTCCTCCATTTCTCTGCCCCGTCTGCTGATCCCCTCTTCTCTCTCCTGATACCCTCTTGACTTTTATGATGTTTGAACCATCTGGGCTTTCCTCCTCCAAGAAGCTTCTCTTCTCTATCTGTTCTTGCTCTTCCCACCCCCCAAACATTGGCATTTTATAATTTCCTGTTTATTTTCCATAAGATCTCCCTTGGTGATGTCATGCCCTTCTCCATCTTCAATCATATTTTCAGATACGACCAAATCCTCCTAAGTTCACGTTTCTAAACGTCTGTCCTCTTTTCCTTATCTGTTTTGCCCTTTAATCCACTCTACACAGTATGTTGGACACCGCCCCGAAGTACAGTTCTTGCCATGTCACATGTAAATGGCCTGCACTGATTACTAAAGGCATTTCTAATTCCCGAGCCTGGCATTTGAAACTCCAAACCTGACTCCACCGCATCCCTCAGCCTAGGTTCCAGCCAACAAAGATGCTGGGCTAATTCCTCAGCATGCCCTGAACTTCCCATTGCTGTGCTGTCCCTCAGGCCTCTCCTCTAAGTCATCATTTTAGTCGTTGGGCAAGACTCAGCTTGAGTAGCGCCTTCTACGAGAGAAAATTACTCTGAGTCTGTCCCGCTTGGTTTCGGCCCTCCATGCCCTTGCCCACGACGGCAGGGTCGATCCTCCGCCTTGCACCCTCGCCAAGCCTGCGCTGGGCCCTTCCCCTCAACCGCCACGCACTCCTCCCGTTAGCTTCTAGAACTGTCACTGAAGACAGCGTGTTTGTGGTGTACGAATGTCCTCCTCTTCCCCAAATTTACAGAGGGAGGGTTCTATTTTTATCTCCTTAGGTTTACACCAGACGCGCGCTCTCTATATATTTCTTTTTTCCTCTTTCCGTCGCCTGTCAACCATTTTGAATCGGGGCTGTCCCCACCAAGTCCCACCCGGACGCACACTCCCCCCCCGCTTCGCACCCCTCCTTCCAAGCCTCTGCGCCCCACGCCGGCCACAGAGCTGCAGTCCTCCGGGCTTCCTAGAGGGACGCGCCCGCCCGCACTTCCGGCGCGCGCGGCCGGAGGCCGTTCTGCTCCCTCCTGGAGTCCGTGCGGCAGCCGGCCGAGCGAAGGGTGAGTGAGGCGGCCCGGCAGCGTGGCCCCGGGTGCTTCCCAAACCGCCCCCGTCCGGCCTCAGCCCTCCCCGCAGCTTTGCCTTAGCCTGTCCCTGCCACAGGCAGCGCCTGCGGCTGTACCAGGTGGCCGCCCCTCCTCGACGCCTACGTCCGCCCGCCCGTCCGGCAGTCGGTCCGTTTCTTCCTGCGTCTGTCTGTTTGCCTGCTCATCCACCGCCCTAGCGTCCTTTGACTTCGCAAGCACTTACCGGGCGCCTCCTGTGTGCCAGGCCGCAGGCTGAGGAGTCGGCGATGAATTGAGGCAATCTTTCCTCCCCCTTCTTACGCGGCCAGAGCTCGCTCTTGAGTCAGGTCTCAGCTGTTCGTCTTGACTTCCCAGTCTAGGTTCGACCCTCATAGCCCTTTCTGCTTTCCCCTTTGTAGTTCTTATGAAGACTAAGTTAGGTAATTTTGTGTCCTTTCTACTTAACCTCTGCCTCCCTACTAAATTTTTAAGTTATGTAATGGCAAGGACACTAACTCTTTGCTCAGTGCCTAGCGCAGTGCCTGCATAAAGTAGGCATTTTGTAAATATTGTTAAAGAAATGTGTGGAAAAACACGGATCTCCTCGAAAGGGCCATTGGTTTGGTGGGGAAGGCATTTCAGCAGAGTACATATCTAAGAGCATGAACTCTGGAGTTAGACCATTTTGTTTGAGAACAGTCCAGACTACATCACTTCCAAACCATGGGACCTGAGACAAATTATGTAACTTCCCAGTTTCTGTTCAGTAAAACAGTAGAACCTAGACCATCAAGTGCTGCAAAGATGAAATGAACAGGTAGACCATGCTCAATTGTACAATAAAAGCTCAACTAGTTTTCTGTTACAATTAAGTAAGCAAACAATGCAGACACATTATAATAACAGCTATACTGCAGGAAGCAGTTTTGTCCAAAAGTGCCCTGGAGGTTCTTGGGTTGCTTGGACTAAGAGCTAGCTGGGACCAGGCTCTCACCTCCCAGAGGGAAGGGCCATATCTAAGCTTAGTGCTTCCAGCCCCCCCACATGGGTTCCCTAGACAACTCTGTAAACACTGACACTTGCAAACACAATTCTGGTCCCAAGCAGTTGACCTATGGCCCCCACTGACAAGGCTGCTTTCTCACATTTGTGCTATAAGAAGGTAGACGGAGCTCTTCCCTGAAACAGCAGCACCTCTCTCCAGAATTCCCGTTTGTGGGATAATGGAAGAATCACAGGACCTGTGCTCATGTTACTGACCCCTAGCTGGTAAGTTTCCCCAATAAAGCCTGTTCTATAACCCATGCCTTGTGATGTGGAATTTGCCTTTCCCTTGCGCCATATCTACCATGCATTGAGAACCTTTTCTGGGCCAAGTGTTTTAAAATATGAGTTTTATTATTAGGTATGGTGAAGCCAACAGATCAGGAGATGATCATTCAAAAAATAGTTTGTTACTTACAGTTTCCAAGAGGAGGAGGCATGCCATGCCCCACGTGGTCACGTGGCAAAATCACAGGATCAGTCAGGAGGCCAGGCGAGGGGAAAGTGGGTAGGAGTCTTTATTGTGGTTTCTGTGGAAGGACTGGGTGAAGGCAGGGTCGACAGGTTTAGGATTGGCTAATTTAAATAGTTTCAGTGGGCTCTGGGAGGCATAGATAAGCTCTCTCGCTTGTCCCTAATTTTCTGGCATCCGGCCCTGGGTGATTAGGGCAGGGGAATGGTGGCCCTGGATGTAAAAGCCCAGGGCAGGAGGTGGTGCCCTATGGGCTCTGGGTTGGGTGGTTTGCATATGAAAAGCACACTTGCAGGGGCGCCCGGGTGGCTCAGTTGGTTAAGCGACTGCCTTCTGCTTAGGTCATGATCCTGGAGTTCTGGGATCGAGTCCCGCATCAGGCTCCCTGCTCTGCGGGGAGTCTGCTTCTCCCTCTGACCCTCCCCTCTCTCATGCTCTCTGTCATTCTCTCTCTCTCTCTCAAAAAGTAAATAAAATTAAAAAAAAAAGAAAAGCACACTTGCAGGTGAGTTTATTATCTCTAGGAATCTGCTAGCCCTGGGAAGGACAGTCCCTACAGTGTAAGCAAGGCCCAGATGTCAAAACACCAGGATAAAAAGATATGCTTAACACCCTAAGCACTACTCCGGATGTCTTACTACTTCCAGTTCCTTTAATAACAGTGCAATGAAAGTATTAACTCCATTTTTAGGAGAGGAAATGGAATCTTTGGTTGGTGACTACTGTCACACAGCTATTAAGATAGAAGCTGCACTATGATTTCAAACTGTTGGGGCACTTGACTCCACAGCTGGTGTTCCTCCTGTGAGCTAAGTCATCTTTCTGCTGTATGAGAAGTGCCATGGAAACATCTTTCAGTCCTTACTAGGCATTTGATAGTTGATGTTGACCACTGCCTCTGAAACTCTGTCCCCTCCCCCACTATAGTGGTATTCATTCATGTATATATGGCACCTACTCTGTGCTGTGCATTGGATTGGGTGATAGAAAATGGTGAGCAAAAATGTTGATGTAACTTACAGTTGAATCATGGAGAAGATAGGTATTAAACCAATAGTCCCACTAAAGTATATAAACTGACGAGAGCAGTGCTCTTAGAGAAAGGAACATAATTCTCTTATGACTCCTTGACCGACCCAACCCTGCCTGCACATCAGAATCACTTGCAGAATGTTTTACAAATAGGAAACCAAGGGTCTGACTCAGGCTGGGGCACAGCTCAGGCATCTGTAAAACGAGATAAGTACGACCAAAGAGATTAGCTAAGGACTGATTTTCCCCCTGCATTTGCTTTATAAAAACTGGTCAGAGGGGGCGCCAGGGTAGCTCAGTCGTTAAGCATCTGCCTTCGGCTCAGGTCATGATCCCAGGCTCCTGGGATCGAGCCCCGCATCGGGCTCCCCACTCAGCGGGAAAGCCTGCTTCTCCCTCTCCCTTTGCCGGTTCCCCCTTGCTTGTGTTCCCTCTCTCACTGTGTCTTTCTCTGTCAAATAAATAAATAAAATCTTAAAAAAAAAAAAACTGGGCAGAGGAACGGGGTCAGATTTGCAATTTGAAAAGGTCTCTGGTTACAGTATGAGCAGACTGTTAATGTATAGTGTGACAGGGCGGTTACTGGGATGAAGACAGTGGTGGCAGAGATGGGGAAGGGCAGATTCTGGAGACAGGCAGTAAAATCAGTAGGACTTAATTTGCATTAAATACAGAAAAGAAGCGTTAGGGATGCTTCCAGGTTTCTAGAAGTGCAGCCAGATGGATGTTGCTCCTTCCTGAGAGGGACCACTGGGAGAGGAGCAGAATTGGAGTGGGAGGAATCATCAATTGGTCATGGATGTGCTGTTTGAGGTCCTTTTGAGAAATTCAAGAGGCGTTATGGGAATAAGGAACAGTGGGTAAATAGGGCTGGTGCTCAGATGAGGGGTCCAGAGTAGAGATGCCTGGAAGACAGTGAAGACAGTGCCAGACTTAAGGGCTAACCTATGGAACTCTGATGTAGAAGAGCGTGGGCCTGTGAAGAAGATGGAAGAAGGAAGAGAAACAATGCTGTATGATGAAAGACTTCCTTTCAGCCACATACCCATGGAAGATAAGTTGGTGAGGCATATTATAATAAAAATTTAGTATCACGAACATTGAAATTAAAGGGCAAGATCCATGACATAGACCAGTGATCACTAAGTAAAACACACATATATCCATGTGATATGTGATCCATATGATGCTTGGTAAATGCTATATACACAGTAATGCATAGATCTGACGATGTTTTGTTATGGGATTTCTTAAATGCCAATTTGTCATAAATAAGAACTAAAGAAATTTATTCTTATTTTTCAAATACTAAAAAATTAAGAGGAAGAATATCCCTAAGTTTCTCTGTGTTTAGGTGTGTATGGCAAAAACACAGTTCAGGAAATGCTGCTTTGTAGATAGATCTAATTTTATCATAAATCACTCAGGAAATGATTCCACCATCCTTTAAGTCACCAGCACTAGGCGAAAACCTGTCCTTAACTCATCTTCCAAATCCTTACCCAGTGTGCCCCTAAGTCCTGTCAAATCTCCCATCTTTATCTTTGGCTCCCATAGCTCAGGGCCTTCTCGCCCAAATGGTTGCCACAGACCCCTTCCTGAGTGGGCAGACGGACCGTCCAGCCATTCCCGTGGCTCAAATGCAAACTGCAATACAATCTTTCAGACCCTTGGCCTACTATCCCTCTGTAGGTGCCTCCTTTCTCACTATTCCTGAACTATGCCACAGGCTCTGGCCCGTTTTTGTTTTATTTTATTTTGTTTTTAAACATGGCTTCATATCAGAAGCATTTGGGGCACTTATTGAAGTCTCCCCCACAGAGATTCTGACTCAGGAAGTCTATTGTGGGGTCCATGCTCCATGGCTGATTCTGAGCCAGAGGTGACGACCACTAGTCTGGCCTCCCTAACCCACCTGCAGCTCCCCCAATGGGCCACATCTACCCACTGTTGTCTTTGCCTGAATGACCTGACTGGGCATCTTCACCTGGCTCATTCTTATCAGACTCCGCTGACGGGTCTCCCCCTGCAGGCAGCTCTCCCTGGTCTTAGTTGTCCTTTTCTGTGCTACCTTGCCCATCCCTCTATCCTTGGGTTTATCACACTGCCTTTGCCGGTTTACCTCTTACTTTCCCATTCTAGGGAGTCTTTGAGGACAGAGCTTTTAATCCTGAGAATCCTGTTCAGTAAACTGCCTAGCATATAGCTTGAGTATTTTTTGAAATAATGGGTGAAGGAATTCATTCCTCTTTTCTTGGTACTGTCTTAGAACCTGTGACTTAAAGTCAAGAATTCTTTGTACGTTCACTCTGGCCATTCTCCATGACACTTTCCTAACATTTTCACCATCATTTAAAATATGTAGTATCAACCAAGATGGTCCTGGGTTAACCCATTCTGTAATAAAAAACAGGTGCATTAGAATTGGGCAACCCTAGGTTCATGTCTTGAGTTTGCTATTTACCAGGTTGGGGCCATGGGTAAAATAACTTTATTTATTTTATTTTTTTTAAACATTTTATTTATTTATTTGACAGAGAGAGTCACAGCGAGAGAGGGAACACAAGCAGGGGGAGTGGGAGAGGGAGAAGCAGGCTTCCTGCGGAGCCGGGAGCCCAATGTGGGGCTCGATCCCAGGACTCTGGGATCATGACCTGAGCCGAAGGCAGATGCTTAAGGACTGAGCCACCCAGGCACCCTGATAAATTAACTTTTAAAAATCTCAGTTTCCTCATCAGTAAAATGGGGATGATAATACTTACCTCATAGTATTATTGTCAAGCCCCAATAAAATAGTATTTGTAAAGTGCCCGGCCCATAGTAGGTGTTTTTTTAAATTAACATATAATGTATTATTTGTCTCAGGGGTACAGGTCTGTGATTCAACAGTCTTACACAATTCACAGCACTCACCATAGCACATACCCTCCCCAATGTCCATCACTCAGCTACCCCATCCCTCCCACCCCCCTCCACTCCAGCAACCCTCAGTTTGTTTCCTGAGATTAAGAGTCTTCTATGGTTTGTCTCCCTCTCTGGTTTCATTCATAGTAGGTGTTTATTAAGTGCAAATTCCTTTGAGGGAGACCCCGTGACATTATAGAACTCAATACTCTTGTTGCAGAGTCTGGTTCTGCTGCTTACAGGCTGTGTATCTTTGGTCAACTTATACATCTCAGTAGCCTCATTTGGAAATAGGTATAATTATGATCGTCCTTTGGAATTATTAAGGAAATTATAAATATCCAGCTACTGTTGGCATCTAGTAGGTACTCACTAAAATGTGATTATTATTCTGAGAAGTAATAATATACTACAGTGTCTTTCCTGCTTTCCATGATCCAGAAGCATTATTTATTATCCCTGATGTTGAGCCTAATAGTATTTCTAAAAGTTGAGTTGATTTTTGTGATTCTTAAATTTTCTATTTCCTATCTTGAAAAAATCCTGAATCATCTATTAATGTATTGCTTATATGGAAGTTCCTTTTTAGTCACTTTTCTTTACAGTGCTACAGTCTCTGGCAATTGGTCTTTGAAAACCTGCCTTTTTGTTCTAAGCACATTTTCCCCTGTGTAACATTAGCATTGTCCCTCTCAGGAGTCCCCTGAAGAATCAGAATTCAGAAGGAATCTCTTAGACACAGACTTCATTCCTTCCCTGACGCAACTGGGCAGCATTTTCTGCCCAGAATGTCAGGAAAAGCTGCAGGCCTGGCCTACCATGCTCCAAAAGAACAAGAAGGATTTGTAATTGTGAAGGTTGAAGAAGAGAATTATGTTTGGGGGCAGGACCTTGGCCTTCAGGGAGGCCCCTGCAGCCCAGAGACCTTCCGCCAGCGTTTCAGGCGGTTTGGCTGCTCTGATTCCACGGGGCCCCGGGAGGCCCTGAGCCGGCTCCGAGAGCTTTGCCATCAGTGGCTGAGGCCAGAGGTGAACTCCAAGGAGCAGATCCTGGAGCTGCTTGTGCTGGAGCAGTTTCTGAGCATCCTGCCTGAGGAGCTGCAGGCCTGGCTGCGAGAGCACCAGCCCGAGAACGGAGAGGAAGCCGTGATTCTGTTGGAAGAGCTGGAGAAAGAGCTTGATGAGCCAAGGAAACAGGTAAGAAGTAGGTGATGTGTTTGCTTGTTTTACCAATTATAAGTTAATGGGGAAGCCATTGTGAGTGACCTTGACGTCGCAGCTATCAGAGAGTTATAAAATTTTTGTCTTTTGGGTTATTATTTGTCCACTGGGGTCAAGGCACTAGGGCTTTTAGGCCTGTTGTTTTCTATCTAATCATCTGAATGAGTTTCTGGCTCTAGCTGTCTTGCCCCTTTGTTCTAGGGTTTTTTTTTCTTCTGTATCCTCAGAATCATAGTGCTGGTACTTGATTACTCCTAGGACACAGCTCATGGAATGATCTGGAAGGAAATGACATCCATAGGAGCACTGAAGTCTCTGAGTATACAGCTCCAGCCCTTGGAGAATCAGTGCAAGAGTGAGACTCAGGAGCCCCAGACTTCCCACGAGAGAGGTGAGGAGTTGCAGTCCATTCGGGGTTCAGTACAATGGTAGGGCTGTCAGCTGTGGCATAGCACGTTTTCTTAATGACAGTCACTTGTGGCTGTCATTAAGCGTAGTGGAAAGGCCCCCTCCTTGCCTTGAAATATTCTTCTATTGGCTATGCCTAGAATCCGAAATTCCAATATAATTTCTAACTTTGGATTAAGAATTAAGGTCTTTAATAAAATTCTCTAATACCCATAATATTCAAAGACCAATATACTGTTGTTGTTTTAATATTGTGGTCCACTGGCAAGGCAGTGCCTAAGATGGAGATGAATAATGTATCAGTAACAGAAACTACATAATATCTTGAACAGGGAAGTTCAGTATTAAGAATTATTGACTATAATAGAGTTGATTACGAAGTGGTAAAGAAAGAAACAACACTAAAGAATACAGGAATAACAGATGCAGGGAATCTTTAGGGCTGAGGCAGAGCACCCAAGGAAGACACAAATCTGTAAGAGAGTACCACATCTTCCTGGACTAAGCATCTCACTGCCTCTGATTCCATCTGCGTCACATCTCTCTGGTCATCTTAGCACATATCTCTGGACATCTTCAGTTTCTCCACATTCATTTGAAGTACAGGGATCAAAAAAAAAACCACCTCTAATGAGGATCTGATTAATTTAAAATATACGATAGATTCATTTCACAACTTTTGCGTGTTGTCATCCATATGTTTTTGTTCCCTCCCAGTGGTACATTACTGTTGTGAACTGATAAATCTCATTGTGCACATTTCTCTTTAGCCTTAGGGGTCTTGGTTAGACCTGCCTCTGAAGAATTAATGTAGAGCATTTCACATCTGTCACCTAGGTTGTGAGGTTTAAATCCCTGGGGGGTTCCACCCTTCGAGGATTGTAAGAGTCACCATGTCATTTTTACAACCTTATACCCTTGGTTTTAATTTTCCCATAGGTTCTTCACTAGCCTAACAGTATATCTTACCAGAAGAAGAGCCTGAGATATGGCGATTTGGGTGCATGTGATTTAAAGGAGGGCGTGCTCTTCAGGAGAAATCTGTAAAGGAGAGAAGCAAGGTTAGGAAGGGAAGAGATCAAACCATGATGTGGTCTTGGGTAAAACCTAGCCTTGGCCTAATCTCTTAATCCCTGCCCGCCCCCTCAGGCACTGCTGAGTTGGCCCTTCTTAAAGCAGTCGGGGGGGTGAGGCAGTGAGGGTGTAAATAACATCCTGGGCCAGATGGTTCTCATCAGCCAGGGCAACTCTCCAGAGGAGGGGGCAGCTGTGGCTTTAGGAGCCAACACTCAGAGCAGCTGCGGGAAGGAGGCACCATATTCATAAAGCAGATCTGGATAGGCGGTGCAGCATCATCTACATAACATTAAGGCTAAAAGCATGTTTGTTAATGTGGAATTAAAGTCACATCCCTAGTTAAAAGGCTTTTTAGACAGGGGCACCTGGGTGGCTCAGTCGGTTAAGCGGCTGCCTTCGGCTCAGGTCATGATCCCAGGGTCCTGGGATCGAGCCCCCCCGTCCGGCTCCCTGCTCAGCGGAGAGCCTGCTTCTCCCTCTCCCTCTGCCTGCCACTCTGCCTGCTTATGCTGTCTCTCTATCTGTCGAATAAATAAATAAAATCTTAAAAAAAAAAAAAAAGGCTTTTGGACCACACAGGTCCCTGAACAGGTAGGGGGCCTAGGGGAAAACTTCAGGCCTTGATGTTGAGCATCTCTGAACCCTGGCTCTTCCAATTATGAATTCTATGGCCTTACATAGGTAATGTTGCCTCTCTGAGCCTTCGTTTCTTGATCTGTAAAATGCATTCAAGTTTAGAGGACTTCTGGGAGGATGAAAGTAAATGAACAGTTTTTCAGATTTACCCCCTCAAAATAATTCAGGTTTCCCCAGCCATCATCTCGTAGTCTCCTTCTGAGTTACTAAAAATCTAGAAACTAGAGGGGCTGGTTGTGAGAGTTCAAAATTTGGCTCCAGGTGGTCACATCTGCCTCGTTTCCATCTGCCTTTGACCATTTGCACATAAAATAGTAAACATATAAGACTCCCACCTGATCCCAAAATGAGTCAGGAAACCACAATACTCCTTTTCTTATGCTCTGTGTGTCTTATTCTATTTGCTTATAATCGTTTATCTACTTAGAACCTACCAGAACCTGCAATTGCCATAATGCATTCTAGTTCCTGCTTCTGTAACTCTGCTCAATTCTAATCCTGAAAGCATTTCCTAGTCATATATTCTGCTCTCCTTCTTTTCTAGGAGCACCACTTATTCAGGTTTCTTAGACCTCTTTCTTTCTCCTGACCACTCCCTATCATCTCTTTCCCTTTCCCTCATTATCAAAAAATGCATCTTCTCCTCTAACCCAGGATTGTCTCTTAGCTTCCTGGTCTCTCACTGCTCCTCCTATTTATCACCATCTCCTCTAACTGATGTCTTTTCCTGCTCACCATCTCTCCTCTCCAGTGCTGCATCTCCCTTACTCTCTGAGGGTGCCACCTCTCACCACCCCAGGCCACTTCTCTAAATTCTAGATTGGGAAGCTAGTTCTTAAGAGTTTTCCTCCTGATAGGTGAATATCTATTTCATTTGGGTTACTCTCAATTCCTGTTATAATAGATTCCTTCCTTCCAACATGGGGATCAAATGACACCAGTATTTTTATTCACATTTTTAGATGGCAAGCTGGCGGCTGACAGAGTATTAACAACAAAGCAAGAAATTATGGAATGTGTAGCATCAGCAGCCATGATATCCCCAGGAAGACTCCCTGGGGAAACTCCTTCAGGACAGATAGTTGAAGAAGCTTTCAGAGGTCTGGACAACTTTGAGAAGCCAAAAGGAACTGCTGCAAGGAGCAAAATGAGTCCACTCCCTTCCCAGGAAAGACATCTTAGTCTGGCAACCTTCAACAAGAAAATCTCCACTGAAGAGTGTGTCCTTGAATGTAACAAGAGTGAAAGGACTCTGAGTGTGAATTCAAATGTCTTGACACGACAGAGAATTCATGCGGGAGGAAAGGTCTACGAGTGCTTGGACTGTGGGAAAGCCTTTTGCCAGAGCTCAAAGCTGATTAGACATCAGAGAATTCACACTGGAGAGAGGCCTTATGCATGTAAAGAGTGTGGCAAAGCTTTTAGTTTGAGCTCGGACCTTGTTAGACATCAGAGGATTCATAGTGGTGAAAAACCCTATGAATGTTGTGAATGTGGAAAAGCTTTCCGGGGCAGCTCAGAGCTCATTAGACATCGGAGAATTCACACCGGAGAGAAACCCTATGAATGTGGTGAATGTGGGAAAGCCTTCAGCCGAAGCTCAGCCCTCATTCAGCACAAGAAAATTCACACTGGAGACAAAGGCTATGAGTGTACTGAATGTGGTAAGGCTTTTGGTAGAAGCTCTGTCCTTATTGAACATCAAAGAATTCACACTGGAGAAAAACCTTATGAGTGTAACGAATGTGGAAAATCCTTCAATCAGAGTTCAGCCCTTACACAGCACCAGAGAATCCACACTGGGGAGAAGCCTTATGAATGTAGCGAATGTAGGAAAACATTTAGGCACAGGTCAGGCCTTATGCAGCACCAGAGAACTCACACCAGAGTTTAACTCTTGGGTAAGGATTGTACAATTGTGTAATACCAGGGATTTACTTTGGTGGTGAGATTCCCACCGAAGTGAGAAGTTTCCCAGGAGCAGAGTTTCTGTCCTTCCAGTCTAAGTCAGTACTTGCTGTACAAGGAGATCCACACAAAGATGGTTGTTGATGTGTTGAATGGGCACTTTCACAGTAAAGCCAGGTTTGGGGCAAAGATCCTGAAAGAACTCCTTATAAGATGGACTGAGAGGCGGTGCCTCCAATGGCAAGGATCTCTGTCCAGCAAGAACAGCATGCATTTGGCTGTTGGAGGCATATGCTGAGAGTCACTTGGTTCTCTGAAGTGTTCAATTATGAGGTTGTGAAATGTTGAATTATGCTCTGGATCAGTTTATAGTTCACTCTGCCCCCTTGCCAGTTCTCTTCTCAGCCCTGAGCTTCCTGAGGTCAATTGAGGTCTGTTTATTGTGCACCTGCTATGTGACAGTCATCAGGGGCAGGCATAGCCATTGCCCTCCCAGAGTTAAGGGCTAATGGGATACATATATACTTATTAAGCAGGTAATTACAGTAAAGTGTGATAAGTAGAATAATCTAGGATTCTGTCAAAATACGTGGCAGGGCCATCTAACCTGGTCTACAAGACACTAAAGGCTTCTTGGATGTGATGAAATCTCTTGGGGGATAAAGGGTGGGTATAAGCCAAGTCAAGGCAAGAGGGAAGAGAACATTATAGACAGAGGTTATAGCACATACAAAGGCATGGAGAGAGGATCTACAGATGTCTCTTCATCAGGACTCCTCCGGCAGGAATTTGTTCATGTAGACTCTGGTTCAGAAGCGAGGACATGTGTTGGTTCCTCACTTCCTGTTTATAATCAGTGAGTTGGATAGCCTATCCCAGATCCAGAGTTACTTAAGAGACCTTGAGGGACTCAGGACAATTAGTGTGATGGTAGACTTTGGTGCATCTTATGGAAAAAGACATGTAGGTACACCAAGGAAAGAAAAGGTATTGGAGGCTAGAGGGACAGTGTTGGTGTCCCATAACCCTAGGGCTCAGGAAATGGGAAGCTGACAGGAGCACAGGAGTGGGAGGTCTGCCTTCCCAGGATCCACTATTCCTCATTTCCTGTCTCCTCCTCTTATCGTCAGGCTCGAAGATACTAAGCTACTTAAAGGCAATGAATACTTATTGAATTACCCCCTTAGATTACTCAAAACTCTACTTCTCTGCTAATTTTTATTTCAGCAGTTTTAATTAACCCACCATTAATTGCTGAAGGCAATTCATATGTAAGAGAAGGTTTGATTTCCCTTCTGAATACTGTCTCTTTTGAAGACCTGGTGATCAAAGCTGTTGTGGGTAATAGGGGAGGTGAAGTTGGGCGTGACGGTGGGGGGGGGCAGTCTCTGTATCCATAGGTTGGAGGATTTTCATTGAGTGAGGTCAGTTGGAATTCTGGAGAGACCCTTCAAATGGATGAAGTTGCCTTTTCCTCTAGGTGACAATCGGATGATTTCATGTTTTTAATTTTATTTAATAGGTTTTTTTTCCAGGTTGTGAATTAATTGTAAATATTGATAATATAGAAAATGAGAAAGTAGAAGTCACCCTCAATCCCACCACCCACAAAAACATTGTTAATATTTTGCAGTTCTATTATTTTTTTCTTTCTTTCCCCAACCCTAGTATTTTTTGGTAAAAGTCATGTTTGGTAAATCATTTTTAGTAACTGATTTTAACATTTATACTTTGAGTATATACTTAAACTGTTTAGTATTAGAATGTAATACAAGATGTATTATAATAAAATTTGAATCTCAAGTTTTGCTTTGAAATGCTTTGTTCAGGAATAGGGAGCCTAGTAACACAAGTGGAGGTGTGCTGGGAGAAAGAGGGAGGGAATTGTGGCAAGAAATCAGGGAGTGGGTGTGCTTGGCTTTTATTTCCTGGTTCAGGTGTCTGGAAACATAGCTAGTCCCTTGGGCTACAGTTCACCAGGTGAAGTCCCAAAATCTAGGGGCAGCTGGCTGAGAAATCATGGGAAGGAGAACGAATAGCCTCTTTAAACACATACACATTGTGTTTCTCCCCCACCCCCCACCCCGCAGGAGCAAGAGCCTGAGACTGCCATGGACTTCCCCTCCTCTCTCAGCAGGTCCTCATTGAAACGTGCAGAAAAACCCTAAGACCCTTTAGATTTGTGATCATTTGCACCAGTTAACAAGACAGCTGCAGATGATAGTTACTGAGTAGCAATGTCTGGTTCTGACCCATCAGAAAGCAGGGTCTGCCCACAGGGCTCACCCTTCCTTGCAGAAATGCTCTCCAGGTCAGTTTCTTCTGCATGGGAAATAGTCTTAATTGGCAATCCCTCTTACTTGGAGGATTCACTTAATGGGGCAAGAGAAGCAAAGGATTTCACAAGGGAACTTGGAGATACCAAGGTCAGATTTGCTTAAATTTCCAATCTCCAGCTGGACAATTAATTGCAGGAAATGAGGAGGGAGAAGGCGAGAGGTAGGAAAGTGATAGTAAGCACCCTGCCTAAATTGCACATCTTATTTAAAATCACCTTTGAGGGCGCCTGGGTGGCTCAGTCGTTAAGTGTCTGCCTTCGGCTCAGGTCATGATCCCAGGGTCCTGGGATCGAGCCCCGCATCGGGCTCCCTGCTCAGCGGGGAGCCTGCTTCTCCCTCTCCCACTCCCCCTGCTTGTGTTCCCTCTCTTGCTGTGTCTGTCAAATAAGTAAAATCTTTAAAATAAATAAATAAAATCAACTCTGACATCTACCTTATATTGGTGCCTGCTCTTTCATAAACACAAAGAACGTTGAAGCTTTAACTATAAAACGTCATCTACTTCAGCTCCTTTAAACTGAGGGTGGAGTTGTAAGGTGACTTGCTTATGGCTGCAGAATTCATGGAAAAGCATGATGAACAAAGCACTGATGAACAAAGGGCTGTACTTCAAGGTTATTGCTTTCCTCAACTACAGAAATCATGCAAATAACTTATATTTGCACAGAGATAATTTGCAGGACTTTTCTGTACACTAGTGTGAGATGGTTGTGTCTGCCACTGTCACTTAACAAGCATGGGTCAGAGGGTCAGAGTTAACAAGTTAGACAACTTCCTAGGACTTGGGAGGGACAGAGATGCTACGGAAAGCATGTGCTTCTCTTAGTATTTCTTGACTATCCTGGGCGCTCACTCCTTTTACCTTTTTTCCTCTTACAAGTATTTATTGTAGGAAAGTTTGGAAGACAGAAAAATCACAAGATGGCTGCATAATATTCCATTGTGTATATATACCACCTCTTCTTTATCCATTCATCTGTTGATGGACATCTTGGCTCTTTCCACAGTTTGGCTATTGTGGACATTGCTGCTATAAACATTGGGGTGCACGTACCCCTTCGGATCCCTACATTTGTATCTTTGGGGTAAATACCCAGTAGTGCAATTCCTGGATTGTATGGTAGCTCTATTTTCAACTTTTTGAGGAACCTCCATACTGTTTTCCAGAGTGGTTGCACCAGCTTGCACTCCCACCAACAGTGTAGGAGAGTTCCCCTTTCTCCGCAACCCCTCCAACATCTGTTGTTTCCTGACTTAATTTTAGCCATTCTGACTGGTGTGAGGTGGTATCTCATTGAGGTTTTGATTTGGATTTCCCTGATGCCGAGTGATGTTGAGCACTTTTTCATGTGTCTGTAGCCATCAAAAGGAATGAGATCTTGCCATTTGCAACGACGTGGATGGAACTGGAGGGTGTTATGCTGAGTGAAATAAGTCAATCAGAGAAAGACATGTATCATATGACCTCACTGATATGAGGAATTCCTAATCTCAGGAAACAAACTGAGGGTTGCTGGAGTGGTGGGGGGTGGGAAGGATGGGGTGGCTGGGTGATAGACATTGGGTAGGGTATGTGCTATGCTGAGCACTGTGAATTGTGCAAGACTGTTGAATCACAGATCTGTACTTCTGAAACAAATAATGCAACATATGTTAGGGGAAAAAAAAGAGGAAGATAGCAGGAGGGGAAGAATGAAGGGGAGTAAGTCGGAGGGGGAGACGAACCATGAGACGATGGACTCTGAAAAACAAACTGAGGGTTCTAGAGGGGAGGGGGTTGGGGGGATGGGTTAGCCTGGTGATGGGTATTAAAGAGGGCACATTCTGCGTGGAGCACTGGGTGTTATGCACAAACAATGAATCATGGAACACTACATCAAAAACTAATGATGTAATGTATGGTGATTAACATAACAATAAAAAAGAAAAAAAACTTGCAATTGGTCTCAGGAAAAAAAAAAAAGAAAAATTACAAGAAAAAATTAAATCACCTACAATTTTATCACCCAGAGATAGCCAGTGTAGCACTGAGATTACATTATTTCCAGGATTTTTAATGCATAAATATATTTTTACATGGCATCATATTGTACATGTTCTATTTTTACTTAAGATATGCTGTCATTTCTTTTGACATCTATCAACATCACTTTTTTAACAGCATTTTAAGACTTTGTATACATTCATGATGTTTTCTGAAGCATACATTTTCAGGTAGAATTTTAAAGTCAAAAGGCAATGCTTAAGGCTTCTGGTATTGATTGCCAGAGATCCTATCTATTCACAGCTCACCAGCAGCATTGGAGTCCCAACTTCCCTGAATCTTCGTTTTATGAGGGGGAAAAAAAGTGCTGTCTCAACTCTCGCTTTAATACACATTTTTAATTCTAGCAAGGCTGACCGTCTGTCACCCATTGGCATTTGTTCTTTTGTGATTTGCTTACTTGAGTACAATTTTTTCTACTGGGACTTTTTCACGGGGAGATACTATCAAGAAGTGGCTCCACAGAAGGGTTTTGTTTTCCTACTGCCTGGGTTCAAAGTCTGGCCTGACCACTTTTTAGCTATATGATATTGACTAAGCCATGATCCTAAGCCTTCATTTCTTCATCTGCAAAATATGCGCTGTCAGAGAAACAACAAATATATACAAAGCCCTCAGCAAAGTACCTAGTATGTTTCTTATGGTTATGTTAAGAACGCTCTATAAAGAATCTCCCCTTTTGTAATATATGTTGTTATCAATTCCTACTTAACAACTGTCCTACCCTTTTTAGTTTGAGTCTTTATCTTGGGAAATAGAAGAGCTGAATATGAATACCTCTTACCATGTTACTTTGTTATCCTACCCCTTTCTTCACATTCTCTCCCCAAGCATAGGGATTCAGCCTACGAGCCATTCTTAAGGTTAGTATCTGCTTATCTATGTATGTCCCAACAAGCGCATTCTCTACTTATCCTCATGAAAACTCTTTTCCTAAGCTCAGGATTCTAGATTCCCATAGATTTCTATTTTTGGCAAGGTGTTAGAACTCTGACCTGTTAGATATTTTTGAATAACAGGTTTTTCTGTTGCTGACTAACCTATATCCCTTCCTGCATTGCATTGAGAAGCACAGTCTAGGGATACTTTTCCTGCTGGGTCCCTCAGAAGAGGGTAGTCTCTGATGGACCAGGACTGTTACTTTTTGTTGCCACTTCCCTTTAGCATGGTCTTTAAAATTCACAAGACTGTGAAATACTGCTGATAAAAGGCAAAACTGAACACATGTGAGGCGCCTGGAGAATAAGTCACAGACCCAGCGACTGACAAATTATTTTTTAGCACCCGAGCCCAAGGGAGTGCTCTAGAACTGTGGGGGTACAGCCCCAGAAACAAATGTGGTAGCCAGAGCAGCTTCTGACCCAGAGTCTTGTGAGTGAGCAGGAAGCAGACAACAGCTCTGATAGTCTCAAGAACCAAAGGAGTCCTTCTGTTTAGGAAAAGGAAGATTCAGAACTCTAACAGGTGCTTAACCTGCTAGGCTGGGCTCTTTCTAACCACCCCCCCCCCACCCCCCCCCCCCCCAACAAGGTCTAGCTGAGCCTAGGCAAGGAACTAGTTATTAACCCTTTCCCCCAGCTCACACCAGACCAAGACAAAGCTCCGCTCTACCCTGTGGTCCAAGAACTCCTGATTTTGTCTAATAACAGAAGCTTCTCCACATCCATGCTTCTCTTACAGACAGGACTCCACTTCAAAAGCAACTCAACAGGAATACTCCACACAAAATGGCCTTTTCTCAGACATTCTTCCTGACCTTTGTCTGTTCCTCTACTGGGAATATTGTTCCCTGGCCTGCCTACTTACCTGGCTAACTCCTGTTCACCCTTTAGTTCATTTTTCTCAGAAACTTCCCCTGATCCAAGGTTGGGTCAGGTACTCCTTAATGTCTCAGAGCCCTGATATGCCATAATGCCGGTCTGCCTTGCCCATTCAACTGCAGAGACATTCTTATTTCCCATTGTACTCCTAGTGCCTGACACAACACAGGCCCTCAAAAAATAACTGTTGGATAAATTAATTTGTATTCTTTCCACTACCTCATTTCTGGACTGCCCTGGGCTCAACACATTATCGATGAACTGTTTCCCTATCTGTCTTGCTGCCCTGCCACTGTTCTTAATTGGCCAGTAAAATTTTGTATTCCTGAGACAAAATGTCCCTCATACTGTCCACACCATATCCCAAACCTGGCATGTGGACAATCAGATGCAGAGACAGCCCGGGTTGCTGTACCCCCTTCATGACATTCTCATGGAAAATGAGGTTTCAATGTTATATTCCCATTTTTCTTATTTCCTGAGTATTCCTAATGGTAAGAGAAAAGCTGGAAGCAGTGATTCTTCCATCTGCTGTTCTGATTAGTCCTAGGAAAAGCTTTCAAGGGACAATTTGCATTAGCATTGGGAAGTGCTGCTTAGTTAAGTCAGAAAGACTCCAGACCTGGTAGTCTACCAGCCTGGAATCTTATTCCAAAGTAAACCCTTTCAACTAACAAAGATAAAAATCTGACCGAAATATTTACAACATTCATTGTATTCACATATTATTTTACAGTGTGGACCCTCTGGTGGCGCATGAGGACTGATCTGTGCCTGAAAGCCTTCCCACATTCGTTACATATGTAAGCTTCATCCCCAGAATGGATTCTCTGATGCTGAACAAGGGCTGAGCTCCTTTTGAAGGTTTTGCCACATTCATTACACTGATAAGGTTCCTCTCCGCTATGAATCCTCTGATGTCTGATGAGGTTTGAGCTCAAACTGAAAGCTTTTCCACACTCATTACATTCATAGGGTTTCTCTCCACTATGTATTCTCTGATGGGTTATCAGCTCTGAACTCTGCCTGAAAGCTTTTCCACATTCATTACATTCATAAGGTCTCTCTCCTGTATGAATTCGCTGGTGTCTAATAAGCTTTGAGCTTTGGCTAAAGGTTTTCCCACACTCATTACACTCATAGGGTTTCTCACCAGTGTGAATTCTTTGATGTATAATGAGATACGAACTTTGACTGAATGCTTTGCCACATTCATTACACTTACAAGCTTTCTCCCCAGTATGAATTTTGCGATGTCTAATGAGGGCTGAGCTCTGATTGAAGGCTTTCCCACATTCACTACATTCATATGCTTTCTCACCACTGTGAATTCTCTGATGAATGATAAGGTAGGACCTCAAACTAAAAGCCTTCCCACACTGGTTACACTTATAGGGCTTTTCTCCAGTATGGATTCTCTGATGTTGTGTTAGAGAGGAATGCTGTTTGAAGCTGTGCCCACATACATCACATCTATAAGGTCTCTCTTCTGTAGGAACTTTCTGATAAGTTATAGAGTTTGTACTTAGAATCAAGCTGCTTTGAGGCTCATGATGGTCTCTCTTTCCCAGAGATTTATGTGTGAAGATTACTTGACTAAAACTGCCCTCTTGGGAAGGGTATCTTCTTAATTTCTCCCCCGTAGCACTTTCTTGTTGCCACTCTAAATCGCTGTTGTGTTCACTAACTCCTCCAGATGAAGGTTCCTGGGGACGTCCTTGTGATTTTTCTCCTGAAATGTCCTTCTTGGTCACTGATTCACCGTTCTCACAATCTGAAATAACAGCAAAAACAGACGGTTTTATTTCTCTAGTCACTCTCAGTACCCACTTTCCATGTGAGAGAAAACAGAGGCTTCTACCCCACAAGAGGTCATGGTCCACACACATCTTTCTTTAATTGCCCATACTGGTCCCTCCTCCTTTCTATTACGAAGGCCTACATCTACAGTTTGAGGTTTATTCTTTCCTGCTTCCTCTGAAACTTCACTTGATCAATTAGCTACTATTCCTTTCCTAGTATTTTCACCCTCTTTCTCTGCTGACTCATGTTCACCAGCATTTAAATAAGACCAAATTTCTCATCTGTTTCAAATGAAGCTCCTTGCCTCCACTTCTCCTTCACACAACCTCACTTACATTCAAAGCTTTTTTTTTTTTTTTTAAGATTTTATTTATTTGACAGAGAGAGACACAGCGAGAGAGGGAACACAAGCAGGGGGGGTGGGAGAGGGAGAAGCAGGCCTCCTGCTGAGCAGAGAGCCTGATGCGGGGCTCGATCCCAGGACCCAAAGGAGTTCAGAGAGCTTCCAGGATGGTGAATGCATCCAAGTGCCACACAGTGGTGAACCTCTAACTTCACGGGGACAGAAGCTCCTGTGCTTGGGACCCTTCTGGATCTTGCTCTATGTACCTCTTCATCTGGCTGTTCACTTGTGTCCTTTATAAACTGGTAAGAACAAGCAAGGCGTTTCCTGGAGTTCTGTGAGCTCTTACAGCAAACTATGAAACCTAAAGAGGTGGTTATGGAATGTCAGATTTGCAGCCAAATCGGACAGAAGTGTGGGTGACCTGGGGATTCATTACATGCGAATGGCATCTGAAGTGGGGGGTGGGGAGGGAGGCACTCTTGTGGGACCAAAACTTTAACCTGTGGGATCTTTGCTAATTCTGGGCAATTAGGCTCAGAATTTGTGTTACTTAAGGTGAGGGAAAATCCCACATATCCAGTGTCAGAATTGTGAGTAGAAAAATAGTTTTTCCCTTTAGGATGGGACACTTCCACCGATTTACCTGGTTTTCTCCTTACTCATAGTTCAAATCTTAGTTTAGGTGTCTTAGTTTGGGTGTCTCCTCCTCCAAGAAGTACTCCTTGAACCTCTAAAGTTGGGTTAGGTGTGTTCATGTGTCCCCTTAGTACCTAGGGCCTACTTTTATTCTGTAATTTATCATACTATATTGCCATTGCCCTTTTGCTTGTCCACCACTCCATCTAGATGTCAAAGTTCCTTGAAGGTAGAGACCCAGTGCCTACCGCAGTACCAGGCATGTGTTAGCACCCTATTAAGTTATACAATCAAGGAGTAAGTGAAGAGATGACAGGGAAACTGAAACACGAAGGGCTGACTGCACTTCCTGAGGGTTGCTGAGTACAAAGCTGCAAGTGGGCACCTCTGGTCTAGAGTAAGACAAGCGAGAGGCTCACGTGTGGCATGTTCGTAAAATGCCATTAATTCTGTATCCTCAAAACCAGAGGCCTGCTAACAGTTCCCAGATGAATTTCTACTTTCTTACCATTTTGGGGGGAAAGGCAAGGTTCCCAGGGTTTCAGCTGTGTCTTTAAAGGCTGGAGTTGGATGTTTGTTAACTCTTGGGATGTTCCAAGACCTGTCAAATCCTTCCATGGTACTGCTGGTCCCTGAAATCAGTAAAAGATGGTTAGCTTTGTGAAAAACTCCCCCAGGGAAAATGCCTAGTAAAAATTTCAAAGAAGGAAACGAAGACATCTCCAAGATGAGCGACAGGGAAAAAAAGAACTAGTTAAGGACAGAAATAGATACGGCCATAGTAGTCACTGCAGGGTGTGGTTCCGTAGAGAAAATTTTCCATTCCACTCCTATGAGGACGCACATGCTCCAGTCTGTACATTTCTTTTCCCACAACATATCACATCTCCCTGTTCCCACCTGCTGCTGCCCTGGATCATCAAATTCCCTCTCCAAATCCTCCAACAGGGTCACAGCTTCCTCGCCGCTTTTTGGACTATGTTGCTGAACCCAAATCTGCAGCTCCTCAGGCAGGATGCTCAGAAACTGCTCCAGCACCAGCAGCTCCAGGATCTGCTCCTTGGTGTGCAACTCTGGCATGAGCCACTGATGGCAAAGCTCCTGGAGTCGGCCCAGAGCTTCCCGGGGCCCAGGTGTCTCCTGGTAGCAAAACTTTCTGAACTGCTGGCGGAACAGTTCTTGGCAGGATCTGATGCTCCCACTCTGCTTACATTTCTGACCCCAGGAAAGGCTTTCTTCTACTTTCACTAGTATTAGTTCTTGATCCTGAGGACTCTGAGGTACCAAGGTTGAAACTGCTCTGGATTCCACAGCCATTCTGGCCTAAACAGTGGAGCAAAAAGCTCACTACAACTGGGTACAGTATTTCAGAGTTTCTTTGAGTAATCTCTTCTTTCCTGAAAGATAGAAAAGCACTGTTAACTTACAGCAGTGAAAAAAAAAATCTTATAAGAACTTATAATAAAGGTCATCCAGTAATGTGTTGAAAGGAAACAAGTTTGAGACTCTAACTAAAATAATAATCAAGTGACAAACTAAAGATCATTCACCCCATTTATCACCCATTTAGAATTTCCGCCACTAATGCATAAATTATTTTAGAACCAAAGAATGCAGTATTACCATGAATCACATAATGAGAAATTTCCTTTTCAATTCTTTCAATCCTGATGGTATCAAGGAGAAAAAAATCTGTCTTTAATTTATCTGTAACTTGCAGAACTCCCTTTTTAATTAAGTATAAGCCTCAGACTTCTTAAGGGTAATAGTATCTAGCTAGGATTTAGTAATGCTTTTAAAAATGTATTTTTAGGGGCGCCTGGGTGGCTCAGTCAGTTAAGCATCTGCCTTCGGCTCAGGTCATGATCCCAGAGTCCTGGGATCGAGCCTGGCATTGGGCTCTCTGCTCAGCAGGAAGCCTGCTTCTCCCTCTCCCTCTGCTTGTGCTCTCTCTACCAAATAAATAAATAACATCTTTAAAAATTAAATAAACAGGGGAGTCTGGGTGGCTGAGTCGTTAAGCGTCTGCCTTCGGCTCAGGTCATGATCCCAGGGTCCTGGGATCGAGCCTCGCATTGGGCTCCCTGCGCAACGGGAAGCCTGCTTCTCCCTCTCACACGCCCCCTGCTTGTGTTCCCTTTCTCGCTGTCTCTCTCGCTGTCAAATAAATAAATAAAATTAAATAAAAAATAAAAATTAAATAAATAATAAAAAAATATTTTTAGTTACCTTCCATCTATGGCAAATAATGTTGATTTTCATTTGCGGGAGTAACATTTTAAAAACTTCATGTTAAATATGAGTTGATTTAAATAAAAACACCTTTCTTATAATTGCCATTTGATCAAATTTAGTTTTCAATGCATTTCTTCAACAAGCACTGAGTCAGTTACCATGGGCTCTGTCGTGAGCCAGGCATAAGAATACAAAGGTTTTTTGCTTGTAAGTAAATGAAACTACAGAGAAATTATCCAAGAAGTGTTTGTTAAATGCTTACTGTGTGCTCAAAAACATGTCCGTTATCATAGAAACACGAAAACAGGAAAAAGGTTAATCTCAGTTCTCAAGCTTAGAATACAGGGGAGTAAACAGTATTTTTTTTCCTTGAAGATTTTATTTATTTAACAGAAAGAGAGCGCGAGGAGGAGCACAAGCAGGGGGAGTGGGAGAGGGAGAAGCAGGCTTCCCGATGCGGGGCTCGATCCCAGCACCCTGGGATCATGACCTGAGCCGAAGGCAGACGCTTAACGACTGAGCCACCCAGGCGCCCCAGTAAATATTTTTTAGAGTGAAATATGGCAACAAATAATTATGTGTTAAATTTTGTGATATAGCTCACACATGACCTGGTTCTAGGATGTGTGGTTACTGACAGGAGGGTATGCCCTTTAAAACAGCAGGGCAGATCAATACAATTTGATCCTAACAGTAAACTTTAGAGATTAGAATATTTAGGCTAATATTTAGGCTTATTAAGCCAGCCCGGCCGCATGAGCCTATTTTTATAGCCCGGTTAAACTACAGCATCTGCGAAGTCACAGGGTGGGGGTGCAACTGCCCTTTCCGCTGGAAAGCACGGGCTTGAGCTGGCCTCCTCTGGCTCCCCAGGACGCTCGGAAACGCCGCCCGGACAAGGGGCCGCGACCCGGGGATGGGCAGGCCCGGGGCGCAGGGCTCCTGCACCTCGCGCCCGCCGGCCGGGCCGCGCGCCCACCCCGCCCTCCCTCCGCTCGGGGCCCGCGTCCCTCACCGCGAAGCCCAGCAGCGGCCAGGGTGCAAGCCGCCGACTCGGAGCGGCGAGCCACAAAGACCGGAAGTGCGCTCCTGCGGCCTTCCGCTCGCTCGTCCTCGGGAGCCTCCGTGCTCCCCGCCCCGTGCTCACAGGCAGCCAATCGGCGCCGCGGATCCTTCGTTCCCACCGCCTTCCCTCTCTGGCGTCCTGCCCGGCCGAGCGCCGAGGCCTCGGCGAGGGTGAGCTGGGAGGCGGGCGCCCTTGGGAAGAGGTCGTCCCACCCCGGAGGGCGCCGCTCCCCGCCTTGGCTGCCTCCTAGCGTGGCCTCCTCCGCCGGCACCCGCCTCCCGCCCACCACTCCCTAGCGTCTCACCTGCAGTTTCCCAGAAAAGTATTAAGGTTTTCCTGTAATTGTGGTGAGTTTCCAGTACCTCCGGCAAAAGTAAACGCGTCTTCGGTTGCTGTTCCGTGTGCATACCGTTTCAGCCTTACAAGAGCTCTGCGCTAGCTCTGTTATGCCACTGTCCAGCCGTAGACGCTGCCCGAAGTCAGGCCCCCGTCAAAGATTGTTCACTGGAACCTAGAAGACTTAGTGATTAAGTTTTTCTTTGGCCATTTAGTAGGTGAGAAATGATGCTTTATGTTTTTTTAACTTGCATTTCATTTAGATTAGGGACCTTGAGGTTAAGGTACTTTCTTTCACGTTTATTGACCATTATGATTTTTCAAGGAAATGGCTTTTCCCATTTTTTTAACTTGAGATGTTACTATTTTCCTGTTATATTTGCGATAGGTTTTTTTTTTTTTACTCGCAAGGTTATCAACTCATTTGTTACAAATACTTCCCTTTTATTTAATTATTTTAAAAAATGTTAGTACAGGGGCGCCTGGGTGGCTCAGTCGTTAGGCGTCTGCCTTCCGCTCTAGTCATGATCCCAGGGTCCTGGGATCGAGCCCCATATCGGGCTCCTTGCTCCGCGGGAAGCCTGCTTCTCCCTCTCCCACTCCCCCTGCTTGTGTTCCCTCTCTCACTGTCTCTCTCTCTGTCAAATAAATAAAATCTTTATTTTTGATTTTATTTATTTATTTGAGAGAGAGAGAACGAGAGATAGAGAACACGAGAGGGAAGAGGGTCAGAGGGAGAAGCAGACTCCCCGCTGAGCAGGGAGCCCGATGCAGGACTCGATGCCGGGACTCCAGGTTCATGACCTGAGCCGAAGGCAGTCGCTTAAGCAACTGAGCTAACCAGGCACGCTAAACAAAATCTTTTTAAAAAAGTGTTAGTACAAGGTGATGTGTATACATGGAAATATCTTTTGTAAGCTAAGGCCATTAAGACACATATTTGGGAAAAAATAATTAGCTTTCGGAGTGATTAACGAAATCTTGATCATTGTGAACTAGCTATGGTAATTTTACAAATCAAGAGAACAAATAATATTACCATATGTTTCAGTTATCCGTTGCTGCATAAATAAAACAGCAGGTGTTTTATTGTTCACAATTCTGTGGTCAGGAATTCAGGCAGGGCTTAGCAGAGATGACTAGCTCATGCTCTCGGAGGTGTCAGCTAGCATGGCTTAACTGGGACTAGAAGGTCCAGGAAGGCTTCACTCATGTTGCTGTGGTCTTGGGTGCTGCCTATTGGCTGGAGTTACTTGATTCTCCTCTATAAAGCTTCTCTTCATGTAGTCTCCATCATTCAGGAGGTTAGTCTAAGCTTTCTTATAGGGTGCAGGGCTTCCAATAGAGTGAAGGAGAAAGGGAACAGGCTAGTTCTCTTAAGGCCTAGGTTTGGAATTGGCATTATATTAGTTCTGTATTCTATCGGCAGAAAGCAGGACTCACGGGAAGGGGAAATAGACTCCACCTTTTGATAGGAGGAACAGCTTGAACGTAGAAGGAAATGTAGGCAGTTATTCTTGCATCCAATTTACCTCAACTTCTTATATAGAGAAGCCTACTACTTAGGAGCGGAACTGTTGAAAGAGAAAGGAATTCTTTCAATTGCAGTAATAGAAAACCTTACTAAGTATTCATATTGTTTAAGCCTTTTTATTATCCCACATAGCTACATGTGTGGAGCTAAGGCCATCCCCAGGGTTGGTTATTAACAAACCAAATATGTCAAGTATGGCTTGACAGTATTGTCAAGGACGCAGGTCCTTTGCCCCTTTTTGCTCTGCCGTTTTTAAATATGTTGGCCTTTTTCCAATCTGGCTTCCTTTATGGTCCTAAAATGAATTAGTTTCAGATTACAGATGATATCCACAAGCAGAAATAGGGAACACCCTTATGTTCTGCCCCTTTTTAAGACTGAGAAAAACCTCTCCCCTCAGCAGATTTCCTCTCATATTTTATTAATTAAAATTACTTCAACTGTCTATGCCTGTCACCAACAAGGGTGGTGAGGCGTCCATGATGGGCTCAGGCCAATTGAGGTTCATATCCCAGGTGTGAGGAGGGGCCAGACTCTCCTGAAAGACAATCTGGGGAAGATAAACAAAATTAGGATTATGTTAAAAAGGCAGAAATGTTAAGGGCAGGTTAGGAGTGCTGACAACGTTGATTCCATCTTTGGCTCTCCAGCTTGTTCATGCCCTCACAATGCCCTCCCCTCCAGGCCACACATTTCAGGCCCTGTGGAGGTTAATGCATCCCCTGACCTGAATGCAGGAAGGCGTGTTCTGATCTTCCTTAAAGTGACACACAGAGGGCACCACTTTCGATAACTAGGAGAGCCAGGGCTGTTGCGCAGGTGGCACCGCCACCTGAGACAACTACCCTGCGACCTCACCACCACGCTGCTCACTCTCCAGAAGGTGGGGATGAAGGCCTGGATTTGGCGGGGAGTAGCTGTGTTGAGCTCAGGATCTTCTGTCTGTCGGATTCTCCCTGTAAGTTACCGCGGGTAAGACTCTAAGGAGTTACGGTGTAGCTTGTGTTGTTTTCTGGTCTCTAAGTGCCTTTTGGGGTGCCTGGGTGGTGCAGTTGGTTAAGTATTCGACTCTTGGTTTCAGCTTCGGTCGTGATCTCAGGGTCCTGAGATTGAGCTCTGTGTCAGGCTCCCTGCACTCAGCGCAGTCGGTTTTGAGATTCTCTTCTCCCTCTCTCTCTCAACTAAATAAATATTAAGAAAATATATTTCTGGGGCGCCTGGGTGGCTCAGCTGGTTAAGCGTCTGCCTTTGGCTCAGGTCATGGTCCTGGAGTCCTGGGATCGAGCCCCATGTCCGGCTCCTGGCTCAGCGGGGAGCCTGCTTCTCCCTCTCCCTCTGCCTCTCCCCCTGCTCATGCTCTGTTTCTCTCTGTATCTCTGTGTCTCGAATGAATAAATTAAAAAATCTTAAAAAAAATTTATTTCTCAAAGTGCCTTCTCAGTTTGGAGGATACTTTACTGACCCTCCTCTGCCTTCTAACAGGCAGGAAAAGGGGATAGGCGGATGAATGCAGTGTGTTTAATGGTAGCATCTACTTCATTTTTTTAAAGATTTATTTATTTATTTTAGAGAGAGAACGAGATAGAGAGCATGAGAGGGAGGAGGGTCAGAGGGAGAAGCAGACTCCCTGCTGAGCAGGAAGCCTGATGTGGGACTCGATCCCAGGACTCCAGGATCATGACCTGAGCCAAAGGCAGTCGCGCAGTCGCTTAACCAACTAAGCCACCCAGGCACCTGGTAGCATCTACTTCATATAGGTAACCTGATTTACCTATATAGGTAAGAAAGTGAGGCACTAGGAAAAAAAGATTCCTGTCACTCCTTGTAAGAGGGTGTGTATATTTTTTAATTTTTATTTTAAAAAATATATTATTGACAGAGAAAGACACAGCGAGAGAGGGAACACAAGCAGGGGGAGTGGGAGAGGGAGAAGCAGGCTTCCCGTGGAGCAGGGAGCCTGATGCGGGGCTCTATCCCAAAACCCTGGGATCATGACCTGAGCCAAAGGCAGACGCTTAACAATTGAGCCACCCAGAGGCACCGAGAGGGTGTGTATATTTAAAATATAAACCAGTTTCTTAGTTGCAAGAGATGTAAACTGGAGATTTATGGGTAGGACTTGGTTAAAATTTCTGGTGGAAGAATAATTCATTACTCTTAAGAGCCTTAGCCAACATTTTCCACTTACATAATGTCTTAGTCTGTTCGGGCTGCTATAACGAAAATACCATAGACTCGATGGCTTATAAACATCAGAAATTTATTTCTCACAGTTCCACAGGGTGGAAAGTCTGTGATCAAGGTGTGTAGATTCAGCCTCTGGTGAGGACCCGCTTCATGAGCTTCATAAAGTCGTGATTGGTGAGTAAGTCTATTTATTCAGTGAAGTTTCTTTGAATTACTGTATCACATTCAACAGTGCTCTCCTTCAACTTCATCAGGTGAGATAAGCTTGTTGAAAGTCTCTTCACTATAAACCACTGTTCAGTCATAAATGATAGAGAAAATGGCTTCTGATGCTTCAGGGAAGTGGATCATTCCCTCAGTATATCATTGAACACCAGTATATGTGAAACACTGGTAAGAAAAGTGCAGGATTCAAATGAAATACCAGACAGGCTTTCTCACTTCACTTACCACTGTGAATCCTAGAGCATAAACTCCATAAGGTTTTGGTTTTCCACATAGTCTCACCAGGATGGCCTAGCACGTAAACGTACAGGAGAGCGTCCCGGGGCTGTTCAAGTAATTAGAAAAGGAACTACTCTAATGTCTTAGCAGCCTAGGTAAGCAAACCAAAACCTAAGCTAGCGTGGAAGCCTTTAGGAGCCTCAAAATTAAGAACTAGGAATTTAAGAATAGCTAATCACAAACAGCCAACTAAGCCTTCTCAAATAAGGCAACAAGTTGTAGCCAATCAAGGAATTTCTTTGAGTTGCTTCTCCATCTGTGCTGTAAGGCCTTTCCCTTAGCTCTTGCTGGTGGAGTGCCCCTAGCCATTGTTAGCCTGGTGCTGCCTGATGTGCATTGACGTTTGCCCCAAAAAACCTCAAAATGGGGCGCCTGCGTGGCTTAGTTGGTTAAGAGTTTGCCTCTTGGTTTCGGCTCAGGTCATGATCTCAGGGTCATGGGATCAAGCCCCACGTCAGGGTCTGTGCTCAGCGGGGAG